GAGTATGTATAATAATTTGAAATATATATGCAGCGTAATTGTGACGCGTATTATTATGCAGAATGTGTAATCATTATTCAAATTGTGTATTATATACGGATTTTGTGTGTGTGTACTCACCTAGTTGTGGTTGCGTGGGTTGAGCTCTGGCTCTTTGGTCCCGCCTCTCAACCGTCAATCAACAGGTGTACAGGTTCCTGAGCGTATTGGGCTCTATCATATCTACACTTGAAACTGTGTATGGAGTCAACCTCTACCACATCACTTAACCGGCATAGGAGACCCTGTTAACCCTGTCCTCTTAACAAATTACGTATGAATTTGGCTGTGTGCCCGTATGGCCGAAAATTGACGTAATTTCAAAATGAAAAACATTGAAAATAAATTTTGGATTTTTTCCCCATAACGGTAAGTTAAGGGTCCTCTGGTATGTTAGGAGGGCAGGAAGTTCTAAAGTTTCAAAGCGTCATGGAAAAACGTTAATTGAAAGTTTCCGCTCCTAACCTAGCCAAGTAAGCCGGAGGAGTCAAACAGAAAACGGGACAGTGCATCCCTTTCATGAGCCAATTTCATTTCAAATTGCATTAATTTTTGGCAATAGCGCGCATACGAGCGAAAAGCGACGTTATTTTTAAGAGGACGGGTTGCAACTCCTAGGTTAGGTTTTTTCTCTCAACATGAATATAAAAAAAGTTTCTAGTTTGTCGAAATTCAATAGTACTGATTTCTACTCTGATTGCCTTTTACGTCAATGTAGATGGTAGTCGTTGTTACTATAAGTACTACCTAAACAGGAGGATAGACTGGAAAAAAATCACATTAGCAGATGTCAGGTGAGTGACTTATCCGTCCCAGAATGTGTACAGAGGACGGAAAAGGAATGGTTAACTTTTTGGGAACCATGCCCATCTATTTCAGATCATGTCAAAGTTAATTGTTTCTCTTTTGAGATGCTCTTTATTGTTTATATTTAGCCGTTGGTGTGGGGTAAAGAGAGGCGTAGATGCCATGTCTTCGCCAGTGTGGCCTCGACGCTGAGGTGGAAGAGGGGTTATTGATCACTAGCGGCGGGGGGGAGGGGGGGGAGAGGTGCTGGTATTGTTCTTCGCTGCTAGAGTTTGTATGAGGCTAGGAAAGTTACACGATTAAACCCTATATATAGTTTTACATTTCTTGTTAAATATTCCAAAAGGCTGTGTGCAGGCCATGAAGGAATTATGTACGTTGTTCCTTCTGAAATAGATGCGCTGTATAGCCTATATGCCCAGCCCTCGCACGTACATTAATTGCCTACGTCGCACTGACAGTAGGCCTAATTTTAAAAGCACTACAATCACCTATTGTTGATTGTTCAATAAATCACTGAACTATATTTTAACAGATCTCTAACCCTGCCCATGGAGGACAGAAGAAAATGTATATATATGCTGATTAGCATTGTAAATGTGTGGCCACGTCTGTGATAGAAAAAAATACTAGGTTTAAGGTAAATGGACAAACACAGGTAATCATTAATTTACCACAAGATCATTGTTAGGAACATTAACACTGCAAATTGACCTTGATGGTAAGTATACAGGCACACACATGTAAGAAAATAATACCCGAGGCCTCTTGTTCTTTGATAAACTTTAATACCCGAACGCTGATAACCGCCGATGAAATATATATTAATACCGGAAACAAAATGCTATGCGACTTGGTCTTTCAGATTATACTCTTAGCAAGGGTAGGCGTGTGTGAAACGTGGCCAGACAAGGCGGCGCTGGAACCGCCTGGCAACCTGGCTAATGGTGGTTGTCAACACGGGGGGTATCATTTCCGCTGTTGGCATCGTCTCTGGTGTAACTCTCAATACTATTTATAACATGTAATTTGACACTGCTTGTTTGCTATACCAAATTCAAGCAAACAAATATTTAGTTTACTAAGAAGAATGGAATAGGGGGAACCTCTGTGCACTGGTGAATGACTTATAGATTCATCTTAGAGATGTAGTTGATACGTATAACGGTGGGCTTTAGAGTACATTTCTGTACAATTTCGCGTGCATTTACTTGAGATATGTTAGATAATGTATACTTGTTTAATACATGTAGGCACACGGCCCCATGCGGCCCCAGCATGGAGCCCGTACATTGTCAAGCACAAGACGAAGCTGGAAAAAGTTCAAAGGTATGCCATAGGCTAGTCCTAGAACTAAGAGGCATGAGTTACGAGGAAAGGCTCGGGGAACTGCATCTCACGTCGCATGAAGACAGAAGAGCTCGGGGAGACATAATCACCACATACAAAATTCTCGGGGAAATTGACAGGGTAGACAAGGATGGATTATTTAACATGGGTGGTACACACACAAGGGGACACAAGTCGAAGCCGAGTACCCAAATGAGCCACAGCGACATTAGAAAGAACTTTTTCATTGTCAGAGTAGTTAGAACATAAGAACATAGAACATAAGAACAAAGGTAACTGCAGAAGGCCTATTGGCCCATACGAGGCAGCTCCCATTTATAACCACCCAATCCCACGCATATACATGTCCAACCCACGCTTGAAACAATCGAGGGACCCCACCTCCACCACGTTACGCGGTAATTGGTTCCACAAATCAATAACCCTGTTACCGAACCCGTAAATTTTATCCAAATAAAAATGGAATGCACTAGGAAGTGATGTGGTGGAGGCTAACTCCATACACAGTTTCAAATGTAGATATGATAGAGCTGAGAAGCTCAGGAATCTGTACACCAGTAGATTGACGGTTGAGAGGCGGGACCAGAGAGCCAAAGCTCAACCCCCTCAAGCACAACTAGGTGAGTACACCTGCCCCAGTGGATCTACTACCCTCGCCGACCCCCCCCCCCCACACAATTTGTTTAGGCTTTTTACTCACATTATTCAAAATTAATGCGGAAGTGTGTACCATGCGTGTATGGTATACACCATGCTGTCAAGGTTAAATGCCAACAGTGAATTCAATACTTGTTTTCTTGTAGATATATATAGCCGCAGTATTATTTGTAGCCTGACAAAAATACAGTATGTCCTCAATATATCCTGTTACATCTATTTTATGAACTACATGATCAGTTACTTGTCAGGATGGACCGGAAAGTCGTATTCCTTTCAGGGGGCATTATTGGTCATAAGTGAAGAGGTTTAACATGCTTGCATATTTATAATGCAAAATTATAAATTTCGGAGCTTGGTACGCGCGAGGAAGTTTGATTTTAACAGGATGGTAGTCCAGTACCACTAACCCTGTCGATGTCAAAATAACTGAACGAATGGTTTGGGTTCATTTAGATCAACCAATCTAACTTTTTTGCTCTATGCTCCTAACGAATCGTTCTGACTAGACAGGCGCCCCATCCTCCCTGGCAACGAGATGATGGCTGAACCATCGTACTCTCCCCTCCCACTCCTAGTAACAAGCCAATGCCTGCATCCCCTCTTCCATAACAAGCCAGTACCTAAATTGTTTTTTAGATTTTATCAGAGGGGCGAATTTATTGGGCAGTGCCACTCATCCTGTGAGTGGGCACACCGCCATAGTGACAGTATTGGGCAGCGTCACTCATCCTGTGAGTGGACACACCGCCATAGTGACAGTATTGGGCAGCACCACTCATCCTGTGAGTGGACACACCGCCATAGTGACAGTATTGGGCAGCTCCACTCATCTTGCAAGTGGACACCGCCATAGCAGCGTGTATAACACTCCCCAATAAGAAGAAAACCCGCTGGGTTTTGCATCCTGTCACTTGTACCCAGACACAGCTGAGACTTAACTGTCTCGAGTGAACAACTTCTCAAGATTAGCATTCGTCAACCCTTAAAATTTGTTATCTTGCAGGTGCAAAATGGGGGAATCTTCTAACAACAGTATCTGTTTGACAAATGTTATTTTCCTAACTCAAACAATGCGGGTTTATTATTCGACACAGTATTTCTACTGTCTCTCAGTTGTTCACATTCTTGTTGATAGTGGTCAAGGCGGTGTCCATCACTCTCACCACAGATTCTGCAACTCCCCTGCTCAACTGTTGTTTCCATTCCAAATCCATGGATATTTGTATCCAAGACGGATTCTCGCTATTAATGATTCTGTACCGTGGCCACCTCTTCATCTTTAATTATCATCGCCAGCTGCAACCATATTGTACCATTGTACAGATTCACTGATTTGTTCTTCTATCCTCAATTACCTTGTCACGGTGATGTTGCCTGATACTGATGATAATTTGTAGAAGAGTCTTGGGTATGAAGTATTCAGTATGGTCACCTTAAGCATCTTCAGCAGCCAGCACATCTGCTCGTTCATTTCCACATTTATTTATTTTATTTATATATACAAGAGTTCTTACAGTATTGTACAGCCACTAGGACGCAAAGCATTTTCGGGCAACATATTCCAACACTGAATGTTTTAAATGGGGAAATTAGTTTTGAAAGACGAGCATTTCACATGACGTTCGGTGCCAGAACGGATTAAATTCGTTAATTCGAGGTTCCACCGTATATATTGCCTCGTTTATGTATCCTATCCCTACAATGATTGGATTACTCTTATAACTCAACCTGTAATTTCATTGACGATTGTTAAAACATTGTAATACTGTAATGAAGCATACTAGTGTTTATGTATTATTCAGAGTGTGGTAACAATGTCATTTGTTTGTGGTAATAATAAACCCATAAATCAATGGGTTTATTTCATTAGGTGAGTACTGTAACCTTAGTAGCTTTGTTAATAACAGTAAGCAATGTTACCTAGAGTTGAGAACAATCTGCTCCTTACTCAAATAGTTATAGGTACTGTAATAAGATGGGCTACTAATAAAAATTGACATTGTAACGTATAGTAATTAATCAACAATGGAAATATAAATTATAAAAAATTTAAGAATTCATGGAGTCCACTTTTTGCAGGAGTGTAAAAGTGCTTTTTGAATGCTATTCCAATCATGCATATCAAGATGAATTTTAACTTGCAGGGCACGATGGCTGCAATCCTGAAGGGGATCCGTGCAGCCTTTGGTGACGTGGAAATGGCACCATATACTGTAGTGGCTGAGAGAGATGCAAGTTATTTTTGTACAGTTTTCAGTAATTAATCAGTAAAATGTTGGGTTGTAAAGGAAAAAATTAAAGATGATTAATAATTTTATTCATAAGGATGTGCATACAAAGAACATAAGATGAAAGGACAATTGTAGGTACAGGGGTTACACACAAACAGATACACAGCATTTCAGGCAAAATGTAGAATAATTTTGATAAATTATTTATAGGTAGTGTATGACAGATTGAACACTTAATATTAAAAAGAGCATTAACCTAATACATGTGAGAATCTTCAAGAAATATAACACAATAATTCATTGTATTCATTCTTAACAAGATATACAATATAGAGGTGACAATCAGTAGATTCTTTATTTAAAATTCCTGCACAGTACATGTTTTGCTTTTATATACCATACATCTTACTCATTTCATTAATTTTATATGAAATATTGTATGCCTATACTGTATATTATTTTTAAATGTATTTGAACCATTTTGTAACAAATTTTCTATAGTGCTTTACAATTATCATCCATGTTTATTATTTTATATAGGAAATGCCATAATTGTTTAGTTTAAATTTACCTGAATTCACTACAGTATCTTGTGTCTATCCACAGAGCTATGAAGAAAGAATATACCCAGCACGGAAGTGGGCATGTACAACAATGAAGGGCTTGAATAGAGATGAGCTAATTAGTCCCATGTTCCGTGCTCTCTTTAATTACATATCTGGCAAGAATGATCCTAGTGAGTTCTAATTATTCCTAGTTGGCAATTATGTAAATTATTTTAAGTAAGATTGTCAGAATTTGTGGTATATTTGTTTCATAAAAGAAAATATAAAATTTTTGTGACAAAAGGATATCTTCAATAGTAACAATTTTTATAACAAATTATACTGTTGTAAAATAAATTTTTGACTGCATTTTTTCTAGACATAAGAATTGACATGACCTCACCTGTGACTACGTATGTGGAACCTGGTGCAGGACCAGACAGCGAATCTACCTTTACTATGGGATTCTTGGTGCCAGAGGAATATCAGCAATGCCCACCACAAATAGCCGACAAAACTATCTTCTTTGAAGATCGTCCAGAATTGACTGTTCTTACAAGGTATACTTATAGTACAATGTATCCATAGTTTGTGCCCATTTATCTGTAATTGGATCAAAGTACTGTAGTTCTATTTTCAAACAGGGTGAGAAGTTTGAAAACATATGCCTATGTTCACGTAGTACTACAGTACAGTACATGGGTACCCAGAAGTTAGGAAGTGTTGTGGGTTGTATCCTGGGAAAGTGGTCAGACATGGTTTTAGTGGGGCTTCGATAATCCTGACAGGCTTCCTGTACCCAAAAATAGGAAGTCATTAGATATTCCTTGTATGTACATTGTTCCATATCTACAGAACCAATTCAATATATTGTACCATACTGTATTTAAACTTTAACACGTACAGAATACTGTACAAGACTTCAAATTAATTAAAATGTCTTGAGTAAACATTAATAGGGTCTTGTGAAAGCTTCAGGGGTTTTAGGGGGTTCACAAATGTAAGATTTCACTTTTTCCTGAACAGATATTTTTGTCTTTTATTTTTAATTAAAGAGTTACATGTAGGAAAATTGCTTTGGTACTTCACATCAGTTTACAATTTAATTTGTCAAGGATTAATAAAAAGTCAACTTACCTGTATTAGTTACAATTAAAAAAAATATTTTTTTAACTGTGCTCAAGTGTTCTGTCATTTACATTAATAAAAACATAATAATGTTTCGTATAAAATGGAAGAAAATGTTAATCTTCAGATTCAGTGACTTTGGTTGTTGTCAAGGGTCTTAGTTCAAGTGGGAGTATGGTACACCTATCTGTAAAGAGTATTTGTTTTCCAGATAGTATTCAATGTATTCATGTTAATAATAATGATATCGTACTGCATTACTTTCAGGCGTTTTGGAGGATATGCAAATGATGAGATTATATTAAAGGAGGTTAAAGAACTAGCTGAGGCAATCAAGAAAAGTGGAGAAATTGGAGTGAACTTCGATCAATATTACATTGTCGGATATGATCCACCCTTCAAATTATTTAGCAGACGCAATGAAATCTGGTTTATAAAGACAAAAGATAATTTTGAAAGTAAAGAAGAAAATGATTCAACCAGGAATGAAGAGAACAAGAATCGGGAAACAAATGGTTCTCTCATTAAAGATTGTGATGCAGAGCAAGATCAAAAGACTGAAGTACATTAATGAAAGTAAAACAAGAATAAGATGTTGTACAGCAGGAAGCAGAAGGTCCTCTGTATAATATTTGGATAACTAAGTATAGTAAATATAAAGGATCAAAATTGTCCTTGAACAGTTTCTTGTTATAAATTATTGGAAATATATACAGTTCTGTAAATAATTGTTATTAAGGGTTCAGATGTAGAGAGACACTTAATGTTAGGTGTATTGATGTAAATATTTTTCCATAGCTATGATTCTAGTGGCCTTGTAGCCTGTTAAGGTAGTCGCTGTTTTAAAATAAATATTTTCTCCCTAAAATTGCCATGTTATATATTATACTAGTGTATAAACAGTATGCAGATTAATTTTACTAAAGCTAAAGAAAAATTCTAGTTACCACATACTTTTTTGCGAGCCTTACATGTGTGATGGTTAAAACAGCATTTTTATTATTATTATTATTATTATTATTTAAAGAAATGCATACTAGTGTGGTAGATGGGGAAATTTATGCAAAACACCTCCATAGAGCCACTGAGAAAACATCATATTGGATATGAATGACTAAATGCAATTTTGCTTTCTGCTTTAACATTAACTACGTTTAATAAAATACAATACTTCAGCTTTGCAGCTTACCTGTACGTAATTCACCAATTGTAATTCTTCCGCGTTTCATGGTGGTGGTGAATTCAGTGTACATGGTTTAAATTTTGTGATTGAAGTGTTTTAACTTTGGCATTGCATAGGATTTTATAGAGGCATTAATGATTCAACAAAGTTTACTGCACTGAACATTGCATAAAGAGCTTCCTTCTTCCAAAATCCAAGCATATTCGATTGTGAATAATGTGTAAAGAACATTTAATTTATAAATGGGGGAACTATGGCTACATGGAATTGATAAGCTCTTTATTTTAAGGATGGGATGCAGACAGTGTATAATATAGTTTAGGCTTGTATTGAGATTCCCACAAAAGTCAAACTACTGACCCTTCCCTGGATTCAATGCCACGATAGTTGGCCAAATCCCTGATATATATTTAATGTTAGGTGAACAGAAGCATTAGGTAAAAGGAAATGTGCAGGCGATGAGTCACAATAACGTGGCTGAAGTATGTTGACCAGACCACACACTAGAAGGTGAAGGGACAACGACGTTTCGGTCCATCCTGGACCATTCTCAAGACAATCAACTTGAGAATGGTCCAGGACGGCCCGAAACGTTGTCGTCCCTTCACCTTCCAGTGTGTGGTCTGGTCAACTAAAAGAAAATGTGCCCAACTATTTCTGTCCTGCCTAGGTATAGAATGAAGCCAGCTGTACTAGGAGACCCTTTTTACACACTGGTTCTACTCATGGCTTGAGGCACTAGCTCAAACTCTCTGGGACACAACTGACTGCCTGCCTGACAGCTGAGTGGACAGTGCTTCAGATTAGTCCTGAGGTTTCGGGTTCAATCCCCGGTGGAGGCGGAAACAAATGGGCAGAGTTTCTTTCACCTTGATGCCTCTGTTACCTAGCAGTAAATAGGTACCTGGGAGTTAGACAGCTGCTATGGGCTGCTTCCCGGGAGGTTTATAACAAAAAGGAGGCCTGGTAGAGGACTGGGCTGTGGGAATGCTAAGCCCCAAAATCATCTCAAGATAGCCTGCACTGTGCATCAAAACAGTAATCTTGATGCACCAAAATGCTAAACTTTTTTTTTTAATATTGTAACGATCCAATGAGTGTGGAATTTTGAGGTTGTGACTACGTGTGACTTAAAATTGCATAAAATGCAGACAATGAGTCACAATGTAGCTGAAGATATGATGACCAAACTACACAAGATGAAGAAATGACAATATTTCGGTCTGTCCTGGACCATTATCAAGTCGTGTGTGTGAGATGACTTGATAATGGCCCAGGACGGACTGAAACGTCATCGTTTCCTTTTCATCTGACGTGTGGTTTGGTGGTCATATCTTGCCTAAAATATTTAAATGTGAAAACAGTGAGGTGCTTTGACCAAGCACATAAAAGGAGCAAATGTTCTTATTTATAGGCCTATTGATAAGAAAATCGACATGAGCTGCAATGAGGATTCAAACCATGTGCTGGGTATTCCCAGAGGCACGCTCTAGTCGACTACGCAACGACATGGTCAATACCACATGGTATTTTCTCATTGATATATCACGATAATGTGATTTCCTTGTGGATAGTCGTATACTGTATAAATTTGATCTTTTACCATTAATATAATAATTATTTTATTATACTGTGATGTGCATTCAATGATGCATTCATACATTTCATTTAGAGCTATGGCAGTTTTGATGTGCATATGCTGTAAAAATGTTTGTGCAAGTTACTGTACATGTAACTTGCAAGATAAAACACATATTTGTTGGAAATAAATACCTAGTAGTACGTGTATTGTTCACAAAACTTGTAACATTTCCATGTAACAATGTTGTTTTATGCTTACTCAATTATTTTGAAGGATTTAGCCATACTATTCATGACTAGATATAGAAAATAGGTAGTAGGTATTAAGCCTACTTAAAAGATGCTGTGTTTTTATAACAATAGATTGATACTTTGTTTGTGCAAGCCCATAAAATAAACCTTAGGAAGTTCCTGTAGACAACTTTGTTATATGGGGACTAATTTCTGTTATTCAGTTAAGCAGATGATTTATACAAACATAATCTACAAAAATATGGTCAGATTCTCAAACCTAGTTCTATAATGATAGCCAATGAATCTCAATATGTATGCAATATATTTAGAGACCTTAAAAAGGTTTAAGGTATCTGCATAAAAAGGTTAAAGTATCGGCAGTATATTTTAGGTATCTCTTATCTATTTTTGATATGTTATAAATGTTTAACTGTAAGTGACTTTGAAAACTGCTATGTTATAAGAACGTTCAGTCTCGGTGCATTTTGTTCAAAGAATTTGGCAAGTATTTAAAAGGACAATAGTGATGTGTTCCAGTACTGGTGTATTGTACTGTATTGGTTCAGCATTTTGATGGTTGGTGGACACTTTACTACTAATTCATTGATATTGATCATTATTGTAATATTAGCATCTTTTGCACTGTTCAGAATTGATTAATTAGGGACAATGCTCATATTTTTTACAACTTAAATGGGTAATGGGCTTGTTAAAAAGTACTGTACAACAATTTGTTCCTTGCATCAGAATTGGTAGGCTAAAGCAAATTATGAATCTGGTAACGGTTAGATTGTTGAAGCTCAAGTGTTAAAGTGGAAGGTGAACACCAGAGAAAATGTATGCAGTTGAAGGGCTGTGGCAACCTTGTTTATTCCCAGCTTACCACAAAATTTGAGAAAGAATAATATATAGCAATTCTTAAAACAAAAACAAAAAATTTGTTAATACTGTTCTATCATTTTGCCAGTACAGTATCTATGTGCATTTTTGACACATGTTTGTATGTAAAATGTGTACAAAATATGTACGACATTTTGTGTTCATAGCCAATGTGATCAGCTTCAAGATGTATTCAAAAACAGTCTCATGACTGTGACAGAATGCAAAATGACTCCAGAAGCAAATTGTGCAAAGTATGAGCCTGGTGCGCCTGGCACAGAGTGAGAAGCAAGATGGGAGCCAGGCCAAAGGATGGCCTTGTATACTACATCCCCAGGCCATGCCCACCGATTGATCAAGACAAGAGGAACTGGTTCTACTTTTCTCAGAAAAGGCAGTGTTTGCAAATGCTTATTTCTTGTTTATACAGCTTTATAATTAGGGTTTTCTATTTATGTAAATTGACAAAGATATCCAGCTTAACCCTTGTACTGCGGCATTAGTTAAATGTATCGCCTCCCTTGATGTAGTGGGGGGACAAAAATTGCCAGTCAGTGTTGGTCTGGCTCTAACAAAGTTGTGCTCAAAAGCTGATATTGCTACAGTCACCCACATTAGAACCATATGTCTGCTTTTTACAATATTTACTCATTATTGCTTAGGAATTATTGTATATTGTAAACATAATAAATTCAACAATTTTATTAAACTGTAATAACATTGATGTTCATACATTGACAGTTAAAAAAATTAAACATTATTCAATTATATTAGCTTTATACTGTACTCATACCATAGAAATTCTACTCCTCTTTGTAGTTTATTTAAGTTTCAGAGCAATATATTGATGACCTTAGTATACAGTATTTTCTCCTGTCCATATGGTGAAACGAATTATTACAATGCCCGCTGTCCATTTTCTTGTGAAAAGAAGCTTAGTGAAAGTATTATGGATCTTGCAGTCAAAGGGTTAAGGTTCATCTGTAGAGGCTATACTTAAAAATCTGTTTTGTTTACATGCATTTTACCAAGGCAAAACTGGAGAAATAATGGATTCAAATTAGAGAAGTTTAGATTTATAAAAGATCTGGGTAAATATTAGTTTTGAAATATATATTGGAGTGTTGATTATTGAACAAACTGCGAGGTAACATAAGACATGGGACCTCTGATTAGTTTAGAGTGATGCACATACTCTACATGAATAAATTTTGGTATAAATAGGATCTGCCTCTCATAGGCCAATAGGTGTGATAGTTTTCATTTTTAGTCTTACTAGAACATACTCTTGCATGTTCAACTATCACTATAATCCATTTTATATTTTAGCTCGCATAAATTTTAAAAAAAATTTTTAATTTTGTAAATTATTGCAGAGAATGTAACAATAACATGACTGAAAAATTAATAATCTAACTCATACATATGAAAATGAAAGTAATGAAGTTTCATATCCTGGACATCTATAACATTTCAAATTTAAGGGCCCAGACTGGACCGAAATGCCATAAATTTAATTTTCATGTGTGTTTTGGGTTTTGTTAATTATCTTAATGAAATATGAGATTTAATCTGCTGGTTGAATTTCTGTACTTTGATGCACATACTTTTTAAAAAGTTACTGGTTTTGCATTTCCATAGAGATAAGGTTATTATGTAAAGCATTTTTGTAATAAACTTATAAACGCCTTAATGAAGCTCTGATATCTCCTACATTTTCTTTTTTGCATATTGAATATGGTTTTCAGAATTGTTAAAAACCATTCATACAGCATATAAAGCTGCACTTTAATTGCCGTATATCATATCTGAATTTACCAGACAGGAGGAAAGCCTTAAGAATAGGTCACTTTTGATAATACTGTACTGTAGGTACAGTAATTTATGGGTCTACGTATATCACTGACAAACCACCTACACTTAACTAAGGGACCAGAGTTCAGTCACCAGATGAGGCAGAAATCACCTGGTACGTTTTCTTGCACTTGATGTTTCTGTTCACCTAACCGTAAATAAGTACCCAGGAGTTAGTAATCTGTTGTGGATTGCATCCTGGAGAAGGTCAGTAGCTAGTTTATAAGGGACCTTGATAAGCCAAAGTATAGGTTTCCTGTTCTTGACAAGCTAAATATTCTCTCAACTGCTGCTATCTGTTCTTATTCCTTACAGTACCCTATGCAACATTCACACATCTCTCTGCCAGTCTATTTTCTTTCTTCAAACCTTGATAGTACAACCACCACAATCTTGTCGTTTATTTTCATGCATTCAAAATGTAATGCTGCTTTGTAACTGCCCAACACTACACGTTTCTCTGTGCAAACTGAATTATTAAATTCTTAGTTATTAACTATACCAAAGTCTCTTCTGTAATGGTAGGCACTACCTTGCATGTTGATTTCCAAGAAAGGCCCCACTCCCAAATTATATATATTTTTTTTTTTTTTTAGATATATACAAGAGTTGTTACATTCTTGTACAGCCACTAGTACGCGTAGCGTTTCGGGCAGGTCCCTGGAATACGATCCCCTGCCGTGAAGAATCGTTTTTTCATCCAAGTACACATTTTACTGTTGCGTTAAACAGAGGCTACAGTTAAGGAATTGCGCCCAGTAAATCCTCCCCGGCCAGGATACGAACCCATGACATAGCGCTCGCGGAACGCCAGGCGAGTGTCTTACCACTACACCACGGAGACTGCTTTTGCTTGCTTAATCTGGTTATAATCTTATCGGAGACAAAAGACGTGGACCCTTAAAAGAGGACACCAAGTGATAATTGATGATAAAAAGGCATCTGGCATTCTAAATAAATATTTACATCAGTGTTCACACTAGAAAGAGTAAACTATATATCCAAATACCCCCACAGATGTTTGTTGCAGGGAAAGATCACTGACAAGGTAATGGATCCACAAGCCTGAGAGGATGGAATTCAACCCAAAGATACAAATAATAATAATAATAATAATTTATTTGCAAGAAGGTACAATGGGCTGGTGAGATTACAAAAGCTTGGTATTTTTACATTCATGCAAGGCCACTAACATAATTAACGTTTCGGGCAGATCTATCTAACATACTGTATCTGGTAAAAATAAAGGGTACATTGTAGCAAAGTTTTTATATCAACAAAACTACAACATAAGTTGACAGAGGTGATTACACTGGTAAGAATGTATGTCTTAAGTACTAATACAGTATTGGGGGAAGTGGGCAGTACATGATACAGTGTGAATTTAAAGCACAAGGTAGGAAATTATAAAGATGAAATTAGGTACTTTTTTTATTGTACTTTTGAACAGAGCATGGGTTGGACAATTTTTTAATTCATCAGGGAACGAGTTCGAAAAACTTTGCTCTTTTATTTGTATGGAGTGTTTGCACAGATTTAGTCTGACTCTGAGGATATCCGAGATATTTATTTCTGGTGGGTGCTCGTGGGTTCTAATACACCTATCAACAAAAAGTTTCAGATCAAGATTAGCATTTAGGAACAAGGTTTTGTACATGTAGATATCACATGAGAATGTGTGTGGAGTGAGTGTATGTTTAGTATGTTAAGGGACTTAAACAGAGGAGCTGTGTGTTGTCTGAAAATAGTGTTAGTTCTGATACATAGTAGATTTTTGCTCAGTGATGATGGGCTTGAGGTAATTTGCAGTGGTTGAACCCCAAGCACATTTGGGGTTCAACCAAATGGGATCATTTGATCTGAAATCACAGATATAGTCTTGGAGAGTATAATTCTACAAACTATGTCTCTAGAATTATAGACAATTATAGTAGAGCGTAAATCATACCAAATTTGGTATGTCCTAGCCCCTTGTTCACATAGTTTACAATTGAAATGTTCACTACTGGGGTATTAATTACCTGCAGCCACCTGCCATAGATATCGGGTAAATCGGGTAAGTATTGATATCCCAACCTAATTTTGGGGATTTATAAAGAAATAAATTGGGATTACAGTGACACTGCGCCCTGCCAATCATGGAACCGCCTACCCGACGACGCTGTAACTGTCAAAGCACACACGAATTTTAATTGAAAAATAATAGATTAAAAAAAAAAAATTCTCATCAGGACAAATGGAAGGGACCTTTGACAAGCCGCGTACTTGCTGTCCTCGTCGAGGCCACTAGGGTGTTAGTGCCTCTCAGGTAAATTCAGGTAAATGTAAAACGTTTTCATTCATGTTTAAAAGACGTTTAATATATTGAAAAGTTTGTATCGTATATTTATTAATACATTACATTTAATTGAAATATGGTTAATATTTTAATATTGGCAATAAAGTTATTTAAGGATATATTATTATCATTTATTTTGTTTATTTTCGAATGAGACATCAGCTGAATTGTATCTGAAGTGCACTAAAGTCAAATTTGATATCCAAACTGTCGAATAAATGTCACAATACTACTTCAGTTCACTAAGGTTTAACTAATGTAATTCCATGACACATAAAAAAATCTCACTTGTGGGTTCTGAAGACGTAAATAATCTCGAGTCAAAACAAAATAAATGAACAAAAAATAAATAGTTTGAGGAAGTGGTAGGGGTTCGGACGGGTTGGGACGAGGTGAGCTGTGTTGTTCCTGGACGAGCTGGTGGTAGTCAATCACATATGTTTCTTATGTGTTTTTCAGGCCCAGCTCCTTATAATGTCAGGCGAAAATTCGTCAGAGCCAAAGCTTTTGCACTTCTTCATTTTTAACACCAGCTACGGCCAGAAGGAAGATCAGGTGAGTAGAGTGTGGGTGGGAGTGTGTGGCACCGGTCTGGGACCACAGAGAATAAAGGAAAACATGAGGTCTGTTGCCCCCCCTTCCCCCCCCATGTGAAGCTACTGCTGTTTATGTGAACCAAAACTCGGCCATAATACATCTCTGTCCTTCGCTTAAAACAATGCAGCTATCCCATACGTCTGTTATGTTACCCGGTAGTTCCATAATTAAACCACCCTATTCCCCCATAATCTGTATTTACCCTGGTCTTTTCTGGCTCTAAATTTATCCAGTTTGTTTTTTATTGTTTGTGAACTATTTTGTAATAACAAAATAGCTCCCACCTTCACCAATAAAAACTATTTTTGTTGGTGAAGGAAATCCAAAACCAACGCAAACAAGATTCCAAATCCACAAACTTGCTCAAAAGCACAAAACAGTTCTATTTCCTGGCACCTGTATTCAATAAGTTCAGTAGAACTTCAATTTCAACCCTTTTACCCTGGCGTAGCTCGGTCGATTAAGGCAGTGTCTGGGATGTCCCCAGACGCAGGTTCGAATCCTCATCACGGCCCTTGTGGATTTGTCCATTTGACAAAATAGTATTTTTTTTTGTCCTTGTTCAAGGAAGTATTTAAAGTTACTCGTGTCTTTCTTGAAAATAAACTTGCTCAAAAACACAAAAGACTTCTATTTCCTGGCACCTGTATTCAATAACAGAGTGCCCAATTGACCTGCTATCTATTTATTTATAATCATAATTATCAGATAAATGGTTGTTAGTGTGCATATATAGTGTCTTCCTACCTGTTGTTGGTTCTGGGGACCAGTGTCCGCCCTGGCCCAGTCTCTGACTAAATTATAATTTGCAAGACCCAATCTAGATTTGTGAGTAATCTGGATATCCTAACAGTTGCCTGTTGTGGCTGTCCTGTAATGTCACGAAGCTTGTAAGCCGTACCCTAGAGTACGAACTCTCAAAACCTTTCCTTACTTTCTTATTTATCGTATAGGTACATTACTTTAAACTAGGAATGTAGGCAGTGGGCATTTATACGCAGTTCAAACACAATAATGACCACGTGGGACCGGTACCATATTTTTGCATTGGCAGGATTCAAGAAACAACCAAAGTGTGTGCATTACATGTATTTAACTGCAGAAAAAAGGATAATACACGCACAAGGAAAAATCTTGCTCACCAGATTAACGAATATAGTTCTCTTCACTTGGGATATAAATGGAGGCCAATAACCTCACACAGTGAGGCGAGTACCTCACGAGCACACACTACACAACCTGTATGTGTGGAGTCTCAACCCTCTCTCTCATGGAGTACAGGAACGCTCCTCTCCCGAAAAATGCGCGGGATATCTTTTACACACAGAATCATACTCATTTACCAATACAAGCTCTACTCTCAAATACAAATGAAACATAAAAATTAACACAAATAAAACAAACCTCGGTTTGTGGTGGCCCCTTCGGCTTGGGATTGTTTCTCCAAGGCTCTTTTCTTGTTGGCATTGGCGTCGGGGGGGGGGGGGGTGTTTCATGCTCTCCTCTAGAGCAGGGGTTTCTGCTCTTTCGGTCCTGGTGGTGAGTTTGTTCGTTTGCAGCCGTCTCCTTCTTTTCTGGAATGGATTGAGACTGCTGCTTTTCCAGAGGGGTCCTTGGGTTGTTGATGCTTGGTTGGTCAGGCTGGGGGTGCATTATGTCTTGTCCAGTTACGGCTCTCTGCCATTCAATGCTTGTTTTTTAATTTTTTGCGCCTGGGCATATTGCAGACTATAATCACAAGAGCAGCCCAGGGGTTAAAAAGTATTAAAAAAAGCTTCAAATTCATATACCTACTAAATTCTACTGTATTTTGTATACTGGTGTTTGATAATTTGTATTTTAGGTTAACCAGTTTTTAACTTTCAGGAACACGAGAAGATACTGTTTTATCATCCAAGTGCAACTGACATAGACACGCAAGTACGGCATGTGGGACTGGCTGAGGCTATTACCAGATTTTCAAGGTAAAAAAGTTTTTAGTTTAGTTCATTTATTATGCACCCCATACCCATCTTGTGGGCGGTAGTGGAAAGGGTTACAGAGGCACATAATGGGCTCAGAGACTGAACCCCACAATTCATTTAGCTAAGCAAGTTACAATCTTGATGAGCTAGTTATATTGAATTTTGTAAATCGTCACATCAACAATGGGTTCGAGATCGACCACAAGTACAGTTTCTAAATTAAGTAACTGACATATGTGGAGAGCTAGTGTCAAAATTTATGTTTGTCCTGCACACCGCCCCCCATCCAGTGGGCAGCGGTGGATAGGTTACAATCACTTGGTTACTACCTACAGTTAGCAAACTGGGAATATTTGGCAAAAATTTCTGGTAGCAGATCATTTTGAATGAAATATTTACACATTGCTGGAACATTGGTTATAGAATTCTCTAAATTCGCGTATCTTTTCGCACTCCATCACATAGTGACGGAGGGTGTGCGAATAATTTTGTTGACACAGTTTACATTTGGTCAGGTCTACATCAGCAGATAATGAGAATTCCCAGAGATGGTAAAAAATAATGAAGCATTTATTTATTGTTGAACCAAATTTGGAAGTTAAAAACTATAAAATTTAAGTCACTGTAGGATCAATATTATCAGTGTCATTTTCCCAGATTTGCTGGAGGGGACAGTAAATAGAATGCTGAAATGCATTCTGTAGACTCTCTCTCTGTTGCTTCTCTTTGGGTCCATAACATACTGGTAAATTATGCTAGTGTACAATGCTGTTTGCAAGTAAATATACAAATAAACTTGATTTAAGACGAGTATATACACGTTTTAATTGACATTTTTCTTGCCAGAACATTTAAAAAAGATGGAGACTGTGAAGCAGTACATACGCAAAAAACAAGACAAGTGTTCTACCAGCCTGAGCCAGACATATGGATGGTTATGGTGTGTATAGTTAGGGATCTCGCCTTGTACTGTACACAACATTGTGATTGCATGTATAACCACATCATTGTTGAGCAGCTTCTGTCACACTTAAACATAGTTGCTCACTTGAGAAAGAAAAAGGAGGAAAGTGTGTTCCAACTAATATTAATTATCATAATCATTGCTTGACTTTTAATGGTAGTTTAGCTGAGGAAACGGCATTGCTAGTCAGATTAATCATAGTTGGGCTTGCTCTTTAATGGTGGTTAGATATTCCCCAGTATAGATACCTCAGGTTTAATATATTTATGTATATTATTTTGTCCACTGTCTTTTCCCGATAGAACAAGATTATAATAATCTTTACCATTTTTATAGAAGTTTGCTATATATTTTAAATATACAGTATTGTATTTGACTTGTAACTTGTTTAAGAAAGGTTTTGTCATAGTTACAAGTCATGTTATATTGTACTGAAGTTGTATCCTTTACTTAGCATTTGAATGATTAGAGATACTTGCCTATAATTACCCTTCAACTAGTGACTTAAGGGCTCCAAGTCAACTTCACTAATGAACAGTGTTTTCAGATTTACATTTCTTTGAAATTTAGCCATAAAACATAAGCACTGTTACCAAAAAGTAAGCTTTTAAAAGAAAAATATTTATTTTTATTTTAAGCACAGTCTTAAAAATAACTTGGCAATAATATTTGTATCATTAGAAAGACTGGACAAAGTTCTATGGTTGACTTAGAGGAAAACACTAATTTATATTTCCTTGACACTAATAAAAAATGGAAATGTTTGGTTAAAGAAAATTCATATCTTGAACATTTTTATTTTTGTGTTGTGTGATAATTTCATCAAAATTGAAGCGGCTAATGAAGATGTCTAAAACCTACAAAAATGGGGGTTTTGAGATTTAAAATTTCCTGCCAAAACTTCAGTGTTACAAATCCTCACTATAATTATATTTTCAGTATATAACTATGTGTATAAACTGCACTTTTCTATGATTTGATTTTAATTTATCTGATTGTTTCATGTTTTCAGATAAAAAGACAAAAAAGTTGGCAATGCCATTATTATCAGATAATCTTAAAAAATAAAATACTTAGGATTGGTTAATCTCATTCAATTAGGGCTCAAAATGTAACTAATAATCTAGGCTTGTAAATGGCAATACAAAATTTAAAGGGCAGCAAGAAAAAAGACTGGAATAACTTTGGGGATGGGGGAAAAGGATTTCTTTAATGCTTAGCTACACTCAAAGTTCACATGTAACAGGAGTATTTAATTAAACTGTGTTTGTGTCCAGTGAATCTATGTACCGTATTCTCCAGCTCTAAGCTCTGCTATTATCATGTTTCATTGTTTTATCTCTCCTGATTTTCCTCATTATTTTTTTTCCAGCTTGTCTTCCTGTACTGTACTCATTGTAACTATTTGGTGGAAAGTACAAATACATAGTGATGGTCCACCAGAATGTTGACTTTTGTATTTACAGTATTGGATTTGTACAAAAAAGAAATGTTAACTGCAACATAAATATAAGACCCAACATAACCTCTCCTAGCAATCCTAGGCCTAATATTGTGAACATGGCCTAGGAATATTTAAGTTTGGTTTTAGCTTTATTTTTCTGGACTATAAAATTAATATTACAGAAAGTGGTTAACTGGCAGTCTACATATTAGTACTTTTGATTAAAAAAGTTACTATAGGTACTATCATTTTTAGAAGATGGATTGTATTTTCACAAAAATGCAGGATCTATTTTGTAAATTTAGAGTTTGTATTGTTGCAGTAATGAATATATATTCTATAAATATATGCTGCACAAAGTATCTTAAATCTTTAAGGTAGATTTTCTGACTTTACCATTCGTGCTGTTAAATTACAGAGATATCTATAATTTTCTAGACAGTTGGCATTGGATGGATCTCTAAAATGCGTGATTCAGGGCCAGTAAGGGAATATCAGAGTGAGGGCGTGCAGGATGTGGTATTGCGGGCAAGACTAATTGGCCTGTACCAGTCCTTCACTCTGCAACATGCCTCCTTTGCCCATGTTCACACGTCATCAGGGCTTCAGGGTCTCAAATCGACGCTCAACTCTTTTGTAAATTCAGTGAGTTTTGGAATTTTGTCTTGACTGAAATCAGGGAAATTATTGCTCTTGTTAGTTCAGTGTTTGGTAGGTAATTTCATGATTCATTCCATTTTTTGTAATTATGAAGAAATATCTTGGAAAGCTTGGCAGACTGCATCGTTCTTGACCTAAAAATAACTTTCAATGAAGTCCCATAGAAGTGACTACTCTGGAAACTGTGACACAATAGTGATGGAGACTATTGTTATGGACAAAACATTTCCTAATGGAGATGAGAACAGTGATTTGTAGGCAATGAATCTGGATATGGATCTTTGTTGTGGATAACATAAAATTGGAGCGAATAGTAAACTAGTATAAGGACTCTTCTGAACTCCATAAAAACACCGCATTGCAAAAAAGTAACAAATGCAGTTCATTGTTGAAAAGTGCAAAGTCCTAAACTTAGAAAATGATAGTGGCACTGTTTACTGAATGATGCCGATTTGGGAAAATAGTTGCAAATTGTAACTCCGAAGATTCTTTAGCAAGGACCAGACCTAGGCAGCAGCATTTGGAATGCTTGCCTTTATAAGTGGAAACATCAGCAATAAATACACAAACATTTGTCCTCTATGTTTGGTACTGTAAGGCCCCACATAACCAATTCTGGCCATCAAAATAGAGGGAGTTCAGTGAACATGTACAGCACACATAGATGCAATAAAGCATCTAAATTATTGGGATCGTCTCAAAGCTCTCCAAATGTATTCACTAGAAAGGAGATGAGGGAGATGTCAAATAATATACACGGGGGAAAATACTGGAGGGCCAGGTCCCAAATCTACACAGTAAAATAACATACTGGAGTGAATGATATGGAAGAAAATGCAGAATAGAACTAATGAAGAGCAGGGGTGCCATAGGCACAATCAGAAAACATTGTATAAACATCAGAAGTTCACGGTTGTTCAACATCCTCCCAGCAAGTATGAGAAATATTGCCAGTACAACTGTGGACATCTTCAAGAGAAAACTAGATAGTTTTCTTCAAGAAGTGCCGGACCAACCGGGCTGTGGTGGATATGTGGGCCTGCGGGCCTCTCCAAGCAACAGCCTGGTGGACCAAACTCTCACAAGTTAAGCCTGGCCTCGGGCTGGGCTTGGAGTAACAGAACTCCCAGAACCCCATCAAGCAGGTATTTGGAGAACTTTCCATCAGTTCCCTTGAAAATTAAACAACTAGACAGTTCCCTGGAATTTGGAACTTCCTCTGTGAGGAGAGGTTACAGTAGCTGAGCCTGCAATCCCTGAAGAGATGTTGTACGTCTTCAAGTGCATGGAGGGTATCAACAGGGAAGATGCAAGGTGATCTTGAATCCATCAGATCAGAACCCATAACAATGGTTATAAGATAGAATTGGTCAGATTTAAAAAGGAAATGAGGAAGCACTGATTTGGCAAGAAGGTAGTATAGGTTGCCAGCCACCATCATTAAGTCTGTATCTTGAGGTTATCTTGAGATGATTTCGGGGCTTTTAGTGTTCCCGCGGCCTGGTCCTCGACCAGGCCTCCACCCCCAGGAAGCAGCCCGTGACAGCTGACTAACACCCAGGTACCTATTTTACTGCTAGGTAACAGGGGCATAGGGTGAAAAACTCTGCCCATTGTTTCTCGCCGGCGCCTGGGATCGAACCCAGGATCACAAGTCCAGCGTGCTGTCCGCTCGGCCGACCGGCTCCCTTTATATAACTACATTTAAAAAATAACTTCATAGATACTTGGGTAGAGGGGTTGGATCTATTGTAGATGGATACAGCCCAGACTCTGCTTCTCAAGTTCTTAACATTCAATCATGTGTCAAATCATAATATTGTTCATAATTTTCATGGAGCTTTCCTTGCCACTTCATATAAAAAAATAAATTAATATATGACTTTAGTAATAAATGACTTGTGACTAGATTCCTCGTACACTGTTTATAAACTAAAGTATCACACTTTTTCCCCTTTTAGTACCTGTCATCGGTGGATATGAGCAATGGAGACATAATGGCCGTGTGGTCAGGCGTTTCTTTCCTGCCACTCGACAGACAAACATTCCTGAGGATTCATTGCTGCCTCTCTCTGCTTCAGGCAACCTTTTCAAATATCTGCCACACAGCTTTCTTCTACAATCATCATGTTGTCTGGTGTGTATATTGACAAAATTGCAGGTAAAATAAGTGCTTGTCGCATCTCTTGTCGTATGTTTACACTTCAAGTCATTGATTAGTTATATAAAAGTTTAAAATGTTAACAGGAAAATCCTTACATGGTAGAGTAGCACCTCACTCGAATGATGCTTCCTCTATCAGAATCATGCATTGGTTGAACATATTGAAGGCGCAATTCCTTAACTGTAGCCTCTGTTTAACGCAACGGTAAAATGTGTACTTGGATGAAAAAACGATTCTTCGCGGCAGGGGATCGTATTCCAGGGACCTGCCCGAAACGCTACGCGTACTAGTGGCTGTACAAGAATGTAACAACTCTTGTATATATCTCAAAAAAAAAAAAAAAAAAAAAAAAAAAAAAAAAAGTGTTCATTTCAAATTATTTTCTGGAATGACAAAATGTTAGTTTTTGTGAGGTTTGTAAGCCACCGAGCCAGCTCTTAAAGATCAACAATCAAAGGTGAATATAATTGCATGGTATGTTATTGCTATCATTAATGCCCAATGGATTTTAGTTCTAAATCAAAATACTGTATTGATAATTGCATACTCAAAAACCCAAAAACTTGTATGTCAAAATAATATGCAAACGTTAGCAAACAATGACCACTCACAAACTATACTGTACACATGTTCATCAATATAATTAACTGTCTTGAGGCATAGTATATCAATGATTCCAATTTTCCACCCATCTCCAAGAAGTTGTTCCATAAATGTTAGCTTTACTTTAGTTCATGTAGGGTTGAAGTTGGGAAATATTATCTTGAGCATAAAAACAGTCAAAAAATGTTAATATAGTTAAGCTTAGAGCACTGCCTGCATCCATCTGATGTTTGCCTGCTTTGAACTGCTGTAACACTTGCATTTTCATATTGTGCACAATACATTTCTGTGGCATTTTTGTGAAAGCACCATGACTGCCACTCTTACAGCGAGATTGCATAGCCTCATGTCATCACAGCTCTTGAACCGCCTGCTTAAGTGTTTAATACTTTTTTTCCAATCGGATGTGATTTGGTAAATGGAAAATTGAACTTGAAAATTGACGATCATTCTATGTGGTTCTTCTTCCTCTTCTTCTTGATAGTAGGTGCAGTTTGCATGAAGGGTTTGTCTTCCCGATGACTGCACCAGTACAGATGTTGGGAGACACGTTTATGTTGAGGATGAAAGGAGTTTCAAGAGTGCTTGTTGCATTATGCTGTAGCTAGAGGAGCGGCGACTAAAACAGGGGTGGATGTTAGAGGGAGACTTGCTGCACCGTAGGGCGGTATGTTATGCTTATGGCCTCAGCTGATCCGTGGTGTTGCAACGAAGCGCATTCTAGGTTTGTTCAGATGTTTACATATAAATTTTCTTAAATACTCTATTATATGAGAAGTATTTTTCCATAATGATATTGAAACATTATTTTGAGTACTGAGCAGCAAGCTAATCAGTCTGTGTTTATAAATATTTTGTTTGTACATTTGTTTCCTGTTCACTGTGGGCAAATACAGTATAGTGGCTTTTTTAGGTGGCTGAAGAAGCGGGAATGCTTTTGTGACTCTTGTTCTAGCATTTAAGATTGCTGCCTATATTCTGTGCCTGTTTTATAGTGCCTCCGGACTGGGTCTAATCCTTTTAGACCTGTTTCACATTATTATCCAAGGTGAATACACATGGTTTAGATGATGCACTTTGTGGCCCTGAATACACAAGAATGTTAACCTGTAAAATATTTTTGACAGTAATGCATTTATTGAACCGTAATACAGTACTGTAAGGGATCATGTTCAGCTTCGCTCACTCTTTGAGATGGCAGTATATGATTTTTGACAAGCTAGTGCTTGATTTGAGAGTTGCATTTTTGACACAAGAGACTTTCCATGGAGATTACATGGAGACCCCCGACTTATGACTTACTACCTACAAGTCTAGATTTTTGGTCCTTGTTCCTCTATGTGAGCACATTTCATCTGTTACTGGGGACTGCCTATGCTGTGTTGTAGTAGAACATATTTCTTTTCCCTACATTTTAGTACAGTTATTTAAAAGTATATCTTTTTTTAGCTAGTTGATTCTGAAATTATTTATTCTGCAAAATATACACCATATTTTCCAGCAGATAGGAGGACTTGTTTTGACATTTGGTTGAAGCTTGATGACATAGTTTGTGTAAGAAAATGGTAATAGAATAGCTGCACTTTAAAACAACTTTCAATAAATGCATGATGAAAAAGAAAAAAAATACAAAAATTCACTAATTATCGTTGTAAAATAAGGGTACAGTACATGTTATGTGCCAGTAAAGATGGTATTTACATTGTTTATTACAATGTCATTACAGTATTTGTATTGGTGTAAGTGTTAACCACCTCTGGAGATAACAAGCAAGTCACTGATCATATACTGTACTTTCAGGTGTGGCTTAGGCATGGAGGATCTTCGATCTCTTTCTCGGTACCTGAATAATCGGCTGCTTGCAGGCTGCTTGGATACCAGCTTTCAAAGCCCTTCATCCACTCCCACCAGTTATCTTTCCAGGTACAATAACCCTTTAGTCAATTACTTGTAGCATGTTGCATCTTTTGGAACTCAAACTTCAATTCTTGTAATCCTTTTATGTACTGGATTTAGAACAGTATACTACAGTAGTACTGTACTTTATCTGAAATTTTGAATATAGTAACATAATCCTTAAGGCAATGTCATCACTGTTGGTTTAGTTAATTAAGGCAATGTTAAATCATTTTTTCCTTGCTTTGCATAAAACCAGTTCTACAGTGCAATTTTTATTATCTGGACCAATAATGATGTACTATTATGATTCCTCTAGGTGTGATAGTAATACAGCACTCAATATTGAGACGTTTCAAAATGTGTGCATAAAGTTCCTACAATGATCTTTTAATTGAATTGCACCATTATATATACATAGTGACACTTCGGCTTACAAATGGGGCATTCGAAACTTATTATTTACTTTACTTCATTACTTTACATTATTTACAAACTTTTTGGGTTACGAGCCCAATTTCTTCGGAAAATTTGAATCGGGTTAAGAGTTTTGCCTCGGGGAACGAGTTTGTTGATACGTGTATAGCCAACCTAGCGCGTGGTGGCACAGTTATCGCACCTCAGTTTACCAATTACCAATATTCTTTGTAAAGAATTTGTGTTTTTTTGGATTTTTGGGTATTTGAACATAAAGTAATTATTATATATCTTGCCATGGGTCCCAAGAAAGTTAGTGGTAAGGTTCAACCTAAGAAAATAGTTGAGTAGAGGCAGTAGAGGATGTCCCTTGCTCATTAAGATTATGTGTGAAGTATGGGAAGAACGCCAAAGTTTTGTTGAAAAAACTCGCCCAGATAAATCTGTAGTAGGCCGTTGCATTGACCTTTTAAATGACAATGTGATGTCTTGCTACAGACAAGTGTTAAAATGTAGGGAAAAACAAGTGTCTTTAGACAGATTCTTAGTAAGACAAGCAAGCAGTGAGCCACAAGCAGGTCCTAATGGTATGCAGGCAAAACGTGTGAGAGAAGTCATCACTGCCTGATGTAATAAAGGAAGGGGACTCCCCTTCTAACACCTCTAACACTAACACCTCTCCTCCTCCCCCTCCTCACTGTCTACCATACACCAACAGAAGTCATCAGTAAAGGTAAGTAATAACTTAATCTGAACCACTCCACCTGCTCTAGGAAACTGTTTCCTGAAGTTGCTCAACCAATGTTTCATAGGTGGAGTGGATGGTGGATAAGCATTACTGCTTATCCACCCAGTATGTCCTCTTGCGATGGTACAAGCCGGATCATGGTACAGCACACAGTGCCACATCACTCGACTTGCACTTATATTTGGTGTCCTTTCTTTTACCATTTTTGTAGTAAATATGACACTTCAGCCCTTTCTTGATGCGAAATAGGGAATGGTTAAATTTCCTGTTCAGACTTTCTTGTTTATCAACAATACGAAGGTTTCTCCTAGCAGTAGCACCAGAGGGAATAATCTGACTCTCATCTTCTGAGTCAGATGATGATTTGTCATGTCGAGGTGAAGATGGGAATAGTGGCCACCTCACACCTGATGGTCCGGATGTTGCTACATTGTCGCCAGTAAATCTGCTCTCATGTCCAGCACCAGCATGAATGATGTCATTTTGAGAACGGGAAGACATTGGCGCTAAGTTTAAAACACGTCCTAAAATGATTGGATAAAAAATGTAATTTTAACAAATATGTTAAATTTGGATGTCGGATACGTCCCACCCGAACGAAAGTGTTAATAACAGTGAAGAAGACGCTGATTCCAGCAAGGTTGCAATATTGCCGAGCTCGAAACCATTATTTACTTTGGTTTTTGAACAGTATTTGTGTAATATATAAATATTTTAAGTGTAAGAGATAAATGAATAAAGTTCTCATAGCTGAATATGCTTCATCCAAGAAACTTAAACATTGATTATCCAAAAAACCTTTTCTTCCAAAATGCTTGGAACCAAGGGGTCTTTCAGTATGTTAAGTAATATTAACATATAATTTTCATAGCTTTGAAAATGTTCTAATGTTTGTCAATTCAATATTAATGAAAGTTAGCTTTATTAATAGTGGGTTTTGAGCTTTTACTTTGAAGAATTGTTTTGTAAGATTAAATAATTATTTGTTAAATACTAGATACTTAATTTGCAGGTTTGTGGGTATTGGGGTGACACCCAGTATCCAGATACATGTATGTGGTGAGGATGGAGAGCTACAGTCATATCATCTACTAGTCTACACTTTAGCTGGAGCTACTGTTTGTCTCACTCTCCCAGGTAGGACATGACCTTGTGTATCATCTCTTACATCAAGCTGTTGATAAGAGTCAGGAGGTCCTGTACTGTTTCTTCCAAAATATCCCATTCATCCATTTATATTCAATGCTTAACCAGCATTGACTGCAGAGAATAAGGACTAACCCTTGTGTCCAAGTTCTGTATCCTGTTGTGAGTAGATGGGGCTACCACACTTATTACCTTCAATACAGTCAGCTTGTTAGCCAATACTTTTAGTTCAAAATCCAGATACAAAAAATTCTCAAACAATGTAGGAACCTTGACAAGACATCGGCTTCCTGTTGAATAAATTATAGTACATATATGTTTTGAAGTGCATGGAGAATTTCATTCAAGCCACCAGGCCCATGGCAATTTTTAACTCGGTACAGTAGGTAGTGCCTGTTTCTGGGGAATCCAGAAGCACGAGTTCAATTTCATCCATTACTATAATATTTTGTCATAAAAATAAGAATGCAACTTGTCATTCTTCACCTGTTATTTTGTGCATGGCCTCAGTTGCCCCTGCTGGGGTCTAGCCACTGCATTGCGCAAAGCACCTTAAGACGCTCTGAAGGTTGTGATTTTTTTTAAATTGGGCCATATTTTAAGGTTTTTTAATGTTTTCATCGTTCTTTGTGATTTGAAATGTAAATGATTGAGTTTGAAAACATTTTGACATTAATATTAACTGAACATTTATAAAAACAACAAAAATATATCCTTAACAACTGCACCATGAAATTTTTGCCAAAAACAGGTGCGCAGTGCAGGGGCTAGGGCTCTCCGATCACTGGATTAAATTTTAATTATTGCATATATAAAATAAATATAATATATATATATATATATATATATATATATATATATATATATATATATATATATATATATATATATATATATATATAATGTCGTACCTAGTAGCCAGAACGCACTTCTCGGCCTACTATGCAAGGCCCGATTTGCCTAATAAGCCAAGTTTTCTTGAATTAATATATTTTTTCAAATTTTTTTATGAAATGATAAAGCTACCCATTTCATTACGTATGAGGTCAATTTTTTTTATTGGAGTTAAAATTAACGTAGATATATGACCGAACCTAACCAACCCTACCTAACCTAACCTAACCTATCTTTATAGGTTAGGTTGTTAGCCAATACTTTTAGTTCAAAATCCAGATACAAAAAATTCTCAAACAATGTAGGAACCTTGACAAGACATCGGCTTCCTGTTGAATAAATTATAGTACATATATGTTTTGAAGTACATATATGTTTTGAAGTGATTAGGTAGGTTAGGTAGTCGAAAAACAATTAATTCATGAAAACTTGGCTTATTAGGCAAATCGGGCCTTGCATAGTAGGCTGAGAAGTGCGTTCTGGCTACTAGGTACGACATATATATTTATATATATATATAATATATATATATATATATTATATATATATATATATATTTATATATATATATAATATATATAATATATATATTTATTTTATTTATTTATATTTATTATATAAAACACGCACACACACAAAATACACAGGTACTTCTTTGCAGTATAAGTTTAAACAGTAGTTAGCAACAGATGTAGATTGTAAAATCAGTCTAAAGCATCGGGATTATTTATGTATTCTGTTTTGTTCTTCCTCAGAAAGTGAATCTTTAACGCCATCTTTATATGAAAAAATTGATCGACTATTAGAAGCCAAAGTGTCACAGTTAGCCAGTGACATAGGAGAGCAAATCAACAAGAAGAATAGCACAGGGACATGCTCTGACAGTGGGAGCAGCTCATTTCGATACGTCTATCATAATCACATGAATCTAGCTACTAAGACGACTGTGCACGGAACAAATCAAACTCTGCCAGTTGAAGTGATGAAGACAATAGGGGACATGTACACTGATATGAAAAAGTTAGTGCAGTGTTGTATTTTATTCTATTTTTTTGAAAGTGTTGGTGTGAGAGTTTAGCAAATTAAGAAGACTTTCATTGATGTTTAAATTGTATGCACTATTTCGTTAATTTTAGATTTTCATCGTCGATTATCACCCCTTAAAATATGCTAATACTACCTTCAGAAACAGGCTTTAATGTTGTCTAATTATTCTTCCAATTTCTACCTTTCATATACAATATTATGTAGTTGTTTCAACTCATATACTGAGTTCATATACTACATTATATAGTAGACCAGAAGTTGGTGAATTACATGATCAAAGAGAATGAAAATGGATTGGTCATATTGAGTAAATGATAAGATTGAAGAATATATTTTATATTTTGAATGAATTTGAAGGTAATAGAAGACAGCCCCCAAAAATGGCCAGTGTGTAATTACCTAAGTGTAGTTACAGGATGAGAGCTACATTCGCGGTGTCCTGTCTTCCCAGCACACTGTCATATAACGCTTTGAAACTACTGACAATTTTGGCCTCCACCACCTTCTCACCTAACTTGTTCCAACCGTCTACCACTCTGTTTGCAAAAGGGGAATTTTCTTATATTTCTTTGGCATCTTTGTTTAGTTAGTTTAAATCTGTGACTCCTTGTTCTTGAAGTTCCAGGTCTCGGGAAATCTTCCCTATCGATTTTATCAATTCATGTTACTATTTTGTACGTAGTGATCATATCGCCTCTTTCTTCTATCTTCTAGTTTTTGCATATTTAATGCCTCTAACCTCTCCTCATAGCTCTTGCCCTTCAGTTCTGGGAGCCACTTAGTAGCATGCCTTTGCACCTTTTCCAGTTTGCTGATGTGCTTCTTAATTAAGGTCCAGATAGATGCAGTCAACACAACCATCTCTTTCCTGCAAAATCTGTGGCTCGATCATAGAAACTGAGTAAATTTGATACACAGGATCTTCCAGATCGAAAACCATACTGTCTGTCTGATCTTATATCGTTTCTCTGCAGGTGTTCTAACCATTTAGTTTTAATTATTTTTTCCAATATTTTGACTATTACACTTGTCAGTGATACCGGTCTATAATTGAGAGTGTCTTCCCTGCTGCCACTTTTGTAGATTGGAACTATGTTAGCCTTTTTCCACACATCTTCTATGACTCCTGTAAACAGGGATGTCTGAAAAATCAGCTGAAGTGGAATGCTGAGCTCACGTGCACATTCTCTCGGAACCCCTGGTGAAACTCCATCTGGGCCAACTGCCTTGTTCTTACTTGGCTCCAAGAGCATTTGTTTCACTTCGTCTCTAGACACCTCTGTGCTCTATGTTGTTCCCTGGAATTCTTATTGTCTGGTTCCCTGAAGATCTCATTTTGTACAAACACACTTTGGAACTTTTCGCTTAATGTTTTGCACATTTCCTTTTCATTATCCATGTATGTGTGTAGAAGCTAAGAAGTGTGAAATTTAAGTGTGAACACTGCACGACAAGTTATAGGGGGCAATGCTAGTTTGCAGCAGTTTGTGGAGTGAATATATAATAATTCACAGAGAACTGTAAAATAGTTGTATGAAGCAGTAGGATGCAGCTGTTCTTGATTGGCTGTAATATTGCAATTCTGGTTTTGTGATGCTACTTAGTGTGTGAAATGGTATTATGTCTTGCTGTCTCATGAAATGTGTAGTTGATAATGATGGTTCTTGCTTTTTTTTTTTTTTAATTGGCAGATATTATGGTATTTTATATAATTTTTAAAATTGTCAATTAATAAATATAATGTTGAGACAGGAAAGGATTAGAGTTCAATTAAGTGTAATTTACCTTACATTGAATCTGGATAATAAAATTCATAATATATTTACAGAATGTAATTGTTAATATTTATGAAAAGTTACATAAGATTTCACATTTCAGGTGCAATAGCGGAGAGCTAGTTGTGAAAACTTCACAGGATCATTGGGTTGTGGGGCGTAGTGGAGACGGCAGAGAATTTTATGTTGTTGTTAGTCACAAGAATGCCAACCTGGTGGAAGTAACAGGTTAGTGGTTATTAGTGTTCCATTTATACGGGCACTTGCAGGTTGTGCACCCGCCACCAACATCTATCCCTCTCCCACCACCACTAATCCCTTTTGTACCTCCCCCCCCCCCCCCCCCCCCCCAAAAAAAAAAAGTACAAGGGAATTGAATCTAACCACAGCAGAGAGGATATGATCACTATACACAAAATACTAAGCATAGACAATCTGCACTCACAGCCTCAAAGGTGGGGTTCAATTGAGCCTCAAGAAATTACTCATTAATGGGCGGGGAAGATGTGCCAGAACACTCAATTATCAAGCTATTTAATAGTTAGATTAGTAGAGCTGATGCTGTCCTTGGGAGTAAATTTTAAACCCTCAGTATGGGAGAGTGAATGTATTTTTTACACAACTTGGACGATGAATGAGTTCTCTATGTATTCATATATTTCGTTCTGTTTTCAGATGAAGTTAATCGGATGTGTGCCAGCCATTTCAGCAACATTTTTATGATAGAATGATACTGGTAGTGGATGGTATAGATCACAAATGCTTATGGTTGCATTGATCTTCAGGTATTTTTGATAATAGGTCATATTGATCATATGTTTTGTACATGTAGGTCAAGTCCATAGATTGCCAAAGCTTAATATTACAGTCCTGATGGAGTAATGATGCATTAGCATATCCCCAGTCCTTTTGTATTAATATTTAAGAATTTTATAGGAAAAATTATGTACTTTGCACTCGCTTGGAGAGTAAAAGAGAGGTGTGTGGTGATGAGGGTAATTATTTTGGCCACTTTTCCTAAGGAATGTCTTAAGTGATGGCCTTCCCCATGTAAAGTATGCTTAAAGTACAATAAAGTAATTGCATGGATTCACCCATAAAGTTGGAAACCTTCAGTTGGCAGAGTTTATCAGTCTCTCTAGCAAATTTAATTGTAATGTAGGCTATATTTGATTACATTGATTATACAGTCTTTGCATAATTGATTCTTCACATTTAATTATAATGAGTGGCATACCTAACAACTAGAACTACACAGTTCTAAGCAAAAGACCATTTTTCCCCCTAAACCAGAGAAATTTATATTTTCAAATATCTTCTAGAAATTTGTTCAGTATTCTCTTAAAAATTAGGATTTATATTGAATACATTAATTACATTAGGCTTAGTTTTATGTATATTAGGTTGCTATTAGTCTTTAATTGTGCTTAACCTAAATATACCTACAATCATTTTTTTAAATTTCAACTAAATGTGTTGATAAAATACTTCAGTTGACAAAACTGTTTGTTAGGAAATCCTGGCATAATTTTATTTTTAAGTTAGGAAAAAGATTACAAATATCTAAGATTGCTATGAATAATTTGCAAAATGAACTTTGGGTAATTTGTTCAGATTTTCTGTTGATAAAATATTCTTTCAATAATTATAACAGAAAATCTTGAGTGAAAACCATTCATTTATATGAAAATGTAAAAGTTGCTGGCATTCTGAATGTCAGATTAATGTCCTCAGTATTCATGTTTTCTAACGGGTGAAAAGTTACGTGCTACAAATGAAGTGATTTGTGCAAATCATGAAGTGGAACTTTTTTAAAATATAAATTTAACTGTTAGATATTTTTTTTCTGTCTTCATATTTATAAACTTAATGAAGTTCATTCCACTTCTCTGGTGAACTGATGTTCCCCACAATATAGGAGAGACAATAAGTGTAAATTAGATATAATTTAACTTAAAAACTTTAGATGTCATGCTACAGGTGTACATAATTTTGCTTAAATATTTTATTCTGGGTTCCGAAGATATATATACATGTGCAACGTGTTTTTAATATTGTTTCATTTAAATCTGCTGTGATTTTACAAATTTAATGTTTAGTATAATTGACTACATAAAATACAGTATTTATAATTTAGACTGTGTTTAGATCATGAAATCAAACCTTTACTAGCTTGATGAGTGTGTGGTATGGTCAACTAACTTGAGGTTTTGGGAGGAGTTCTACTCCCCAAGCCCAGCCACCAGGCTTGACTTGAGAGCTTGGTCCACTAGGCTGTTGCTTGGAGCAGCCCTGGTGCTACATAGCCTTCCCAGCTTGGTGCCTTATTTGATAATTAATTGCTTACTTCGAGCAGCCCGCAGGCCCACATGTCCACCACAGCCCGGTTGGTCCGGCACTCCTTGGAGAAAATTATCTAATTTCTTCTTAAAGATGTCCACGGTTGTTCCGGCAATATTTCATATGCTCGCTGGGAGGATGTTGAACAACCATGGACCTCTGATGTTTATATAGTGTTCTCTGATTGTGCCTATGGCACCCCTGTTCTTCACTGGTTCTATCCTGCATTTTCTTTCATATTATTCACTCCAGTACATTGTTACTTTACTATGTAGATTTGGGACCTGGCCCTCCAGTATTTTCCACATGTATATTATTTGATCTCTTTCTCGTCTCCTTTCTAGCAAGTACATTTGTAGAGCTTTGAGACGAGCCCAATAATTTAGGTGCTTTATGCGTCTATGTATGCTGTATATGTTCTCTGTATTCCCTCCATTTCAACAATCTCTCCTACTCTGAAGGGGGAAGCAAGTACTGAGCAATACTCAAGATGGGACTGCAAGAGATTTATATAGTACAACCATTGTGATGGGATCCCTGGATTTGAAAGGTCTCGTAATCCATCCTATTATTTTTCTTGCCGACAATGTTTGCTTGGTTATGCTCCCTAAACATTAGGTCATCGGACATCATTATTCCCAAATCCTTTACATGTTACTTTCCTACTATGGGCACATTTGATTGTTTTGTACCCTATATTATGTTTAAGGTCCGCATTTTTACCGTACCCGAGTACCTGGAATTTATCAGTGTTAAAGATGTTATTTTCTGTTGCCCAGTTGAAAACCTGCTTGACTTTTTTCAATGTCTTCAACAGAGGTAATGTTCATGCTGATTTTTGTGTCAACTGCAAAGGATGACACGAAGCTGTGACTTGTATTTTTATCTATCTGATGAGAGAATAAGGAAAAGCAGTGCAAGGGCTGTACCCTGAAGTACAGAGCTTTTAATTGTGCTTGGACTCTTTTACATGGTTGACTGTTACGGTGTTCTGTTCGACAAAAAAGTGAGTATATAGCTTGCTTACTTTACCAGTTATTCCCATTGACCTCATTTTGTGTTATTACTCCAATTTCACATTTATCGAAATCCTTTGCAAAGTCTGTATCTGCATTCAGTTTTTCTTCTAATGCCTTAGTGACTTTGTCGTAGTGGTCAAGTAGGTGTGAGAGGCACAATCTTCCCGCTCTAAAGCCATGTTGGCCTTTGAATTTGAAGTCTTAGTAAGCATAGATGTACCAATTGCTTTGTAAGGGTTACAAAATCCTGAACATTTATTAGATTACACTACCAGGGGTCTGGTAGCTGAGTGGACAGCGTGCGGGACTCTTAATCCTGTGGCCCGGGATCGATTCATAGTGCCGGCAGAGTTTTTATCACTCTGATGCTCCTGTTACCTAGCAGTAAATAGGTACTTAGGAGTTAGTTAACTGTTATGGGCTGCTTCCTGGGGGGGGGGGGGTAGTAACAGTTGATTGATTGATTGACAGTTGAGAGGCAGGCTAAAAGAGCAGAGCTCAATCCCCGCAAGCACAATTAGGTGAATACTTCATCACCAACATGATCGTCATTTACCAGTTTTGTTATTATTATTATTTATTTATTTTATTATTGCCTAGTTTTCATACCAATGATTTAAAGATGGTTATAATATACTCCTCGACCCTTCTTACAAACCTCAATCTTCCAATTATTCCATCTAATCATTTGCGAGCCCAACCCCAGGCACCTCCACCCACAAAAGGCCCATGTAGTTTGGTGGCTGGCCACTAAGGTGCCGTGACATGACCTTTGCAGCTGCTCTAACAATCCAGTCTTGATTTTGTTTTTACCTGAAGCTGACAGCCTTTTTTTTTTTTTAACATCTGTGAATATGTTGCATCCCGCCACTATGAAAGTCAAGAGAACACATGTAATGAATTTTGAACAAAAAGTTCAACTTATAAAGCTCAATCTGGAATTCCTAGGAGTGTCATCTGTGTAATTCAAAGTCATCAAAACCACTCTTGATATATTGAGGGCAAAAGATTATTTTTTTCACAAGTTATGCTAAAAGTGAGCGAAGTAGCTATGCGCAACAAAAAAGTTGTTAGTAATGCTCGTGTTAAGTGTTGATGATGTCTGAATCAAAGAAGCTAGTGCCAGGATGGCTGATTTAGGAAAAACACCAAGCATTTTTACCAACAAATGAATCTCTGTGATAATTGTATGTACAGTGATGGATGACTAAGCAGCTCTGTTAGACATGTGCTGTTATGAGGTGAACAGCAATCTGTTGATGTAAAAGGTGCAGAGAAATGTGTTCAAATGAGATTATACAGGATGAGTCTATTCTGAGCAAATTTACAATGCCAACAAAACAAGCTTATACTGGTATATGTTAACCTAACCCAATCCTCAACAGCCACCTCCAACCTCATTTAACACCGTCATTCTCGCTTAGACATAATTCCCAAGATCATATCTTGATGCTTGGTGAGAATCCATATTTATTGTTATATGTACTGAATTACCAGTACATTCTGTGGGGTTTTATTTAAAGTACAGTATCTAGTGAAGCAATACTGTATTATTTATTTTTGTACATAAAATTAAATTTTTTCGTGCCTGGGGAGAAAATTCGACCTCATATCTGTAGGTGACTGCTGTCCAACCTACAATCGCAATCGGAACTGAATTGCGATTCATGTCAGGATGTGAGCAGCTGTATCCATAAGCCTGGTAGACCAACAGCCTGTCCTCGTAAACAAGAAGTCCATTCCATGCACCAGCCAAACCCTGTTTATGAATGAACAACGGTTTACACATGACTCGACTGATGATATCCAAACATTTCCGGAACAAATGCTTCCCTGACAACTTTTGTTCAAACCACAACGCTGTAAATACTTCACCCATGTACTACAATGGCAAATAATTGCCAACAGAACCTAAACACCTAACCTAACCAATGAGATATCAAATAATATACACGTGGAAGATACTGGAGGGCCAAGTACCAAATCTACACAGTAAAATAACAACGTACTGGAGTAAACGATATGGAAGAAAATGTAGAATAGAACCAGTGAAGAGCAGAGGTGCCATAGGCACAATCAGAGAACACTGTATAAACATCAGAGGTCCGCGGTTGTTCAACGTCCTCCCAGCAAGCATAAGAAATATTGCCGGAACAACCGTGGACATTTTCAAGAGGAAACTAGATTTATTCCTCCAAGGAGTGCCGGACCAACCGGGCTGTGGTGGGTATGTGGGCCTGCGGGCCGCTCCAAGCAAGAGCCTGGTGGACCAAACTCTCACAAGTCAAGCCTGGCCTCGGGCCGGGCTTGGGGAGTAGAAGAACTCCCAGAACCCCATCAACCAGGTATCAACCAGGTACCAGGTAATGCCTAAATAAGGACAATATGCTAATATATATTAATTTTAATTTATATTCAAGAAAATTCCCATTTTGAATTATAGCATGTTAAAATTTATGAACGCATCATTGGGGTCGACCGCTGGCTGAAATAGACTTGGTCTGAGGACAGGTTGTGACCAGACAACCAACCAGAAGGCCTGGTCAGAGACTGGGCTGCAGGGAGGTTGACCCCTGGAATTGACAAGTGCTAGCAAGGTGTTCAGAAGGGGTCAGGGAGTGTACACTGGATGTAATTTTCATGCTGAAAATCTGGACATTCCATAAGATTAATGTCTACAAGCAGAATAATGCAATTCTGATGGAAAGACGTAGATCATTACTTGCCCATTAATTTTTGCAAGAGGGGCATCAAACAAACAGTGATAAAATCACTGTTTTAAATTTATCACTGTTTTATCAGTGATAAAAAAAAAATATACCGATCCTGGAGAGATTTTTGTCATAAATAAAATTAAACTTGGATTAAATAGACAATGGGTGACCGATCTGATGATTGAAATCCTGGCACACTGCTCCTTCAAGGAGAGGTGCATGCCTGAAGCTTCCTCTCCACCAGCCTAGCCCCTTTTCCAACACCAAAAATAACTATGTTCAAACATTAAATGCTTTGTGATGTGGGCATACAGGTCACAAACAGCAACAGCTCGATTGATTAGACATTCACCAGGGAAGACTTGGCTTAGTAGAAGACTAAAGTACTTTAAAACACTAACAGGGTAAAAATTGGGGAGAAAATTGTGTATTTAACTTTTATTCTGGTATACTGTCACTAAAAGGCAAAATGTTATTTTTCTAAAATACCATATTCATGAATATGTACTGACTTAAGACAAATTCACAATTTTCATATCCAAGTTAAATGGATACAATAATGTTTTGGCTTCAATTGTACTCAAGATACCTCTGCTGCTTTCTTAGTAGCATGTGTCCTTTTCAACATTTTCCTATGTTTGGCTCCTTGTATATGCTCTTTCCAAATTTTTTCCCCAATCACCACACGATTACATACTGTGCATTCATGTCGTGTCTTGTCTTCTGTAAAATATAAATAAAAATTATTTTATTATCATCGATATGTTATACATTGTAGAAATAGATATACAAGGACACATTTTCACAGCCAGTCTTTGTCACTGCCAAGATATATTGTCCAAGTGTTTAAAGGGAGAGTTGAGGGGTAAATAATTGGTGTCCAAAGATATGTAAATATCCACAAATACATTTTTAAATTAAGAAAACAAATAATGGGTAAGGTTTGCAAGAGGAATAAGCAATCATAATCACTATAGTTGCAAGAGATGGTAAACATTGGCAAACCAGTTATCATTGAGCCAATTCAAGTTGAGCAAACTCCACACTATAAAAGTTTTAGACATAAAAAGGTTAATAAAATAAAACGCATAGTAACGGAATCAAAAATGATAAAAACTAATTAACAAGTCAGCCCCTCACGATAAATCTTAGAATGGCTGCTGCTTTATCGGTAAATATAAAAATTATGATTCTTAATTCTTGGAATTTACTGATGATGTAATTACAGGCAGCTATTTTAATAAACTGGGATGATAAGAGAAATCAATCAATAACAAAAACAGATTTCATGGGTGGAATGATTCTTATTGGAGGCTAGCCAACAAGGTTAACAAGAAATTATATACTGTACTAAAACAGAATAAAGAATTCAAAAAGAATATTATTGAGGCAACAGATAGAAAGTAGAGGAATAAATCTAAATTTTTAGGCATGCCATAGAAAATATTAGGGCAACCTATGCAAGTACCCTGTAACAGGGTATTTACCTATACTTCAGCATTATTGAAAATGAGAACTCTTAACCTACTACACACGCAATGAGCTTGACAGTGTTAAATTGTGGAGTCAGAGGCTTAGTCTTGAATGGTAGACCCTGCACTTTGAATTCTCATCACCCGCAAACTGATTGACAAGTGTTGGTTGCCTAACTGCCTTGATATGAAGGCAAAGTTTTATCTATGTAAAGAGTACAAATTAGAAGATCACATTATCAGTTTATGAAGAAAGATCTTACAAGTCTTATCTTGTTTATGATTAATGCATATTTTAGCTTTTTCTAGGTACCCAATTCTGTAAACATGTAATAATCTGGATCACACTAACCATACTCATACATTCTTATGTCCATTTTGCCAGCCTCGATGAACATTAGAGGGATCTCAAACACCTCAAAGTCCAACTCTTCAAGCAGAACAGAAGTTTTGAAAAATATTCCATGCCTACCTTGTTTCCTTTACCTACTTCCAAGATTTAGTTCCAGTTATCAAGTAATTACCTAAGTGTACTTAACAGGATGAGTGCTACGCTCGTGGTGCCCCGTCTTCCCAGTACTCTGTCATATAACCCATTGAAACTACTGACAGTTTTGGCCTCCCTCACGTTCTCACTTAACCCTTACACTGCTACAGCCTGGGCTGTAAATGAGGGTATAAGCCTGGGCAGGGTGAAAATATATTTGAATTATGTGAAAATTAATATTAAATGTTAACCCTTAAATTGCGCATCGCATCATATGATGATTTGACCGATTTGCAGTAAAATGCGCATCGCATCATGATGCTTTGGAGTACTACGCAAAATTTAAACGGCCTGCGGATACACGGGGTTCACCACACCATCAGGGCTCTTGTAAACAGACGCCATTTAAAAAAAAAAATCATGGGCCAAATTCCCGGGTGTTAGGGCCCTCAGTATTGAGTGAGCTACCAAGCCTGACGCACGCAGCATGAGCTCACAGCACTGCTGTTTAGCTTGTGACCACAGCATCGCTTAAATATGCCATAATATACTTGTTCATGCTATTATGTAGCGATGATATTATTACAGAAGACCACTGAATGTGATAAAACTGACCAGGGTTCTGATAATAGCAGGATTGTGGTGATATTTAGTGCTGTGCTCCACGGAGGGAAGAGTAATGCTATGGGAGGGGAGGGTAGTGACGTTGTCTTCTGACTGTGTGTGGCCACCTTTCATTGACTGCACTCACCATACCAGCTTAGTGGTATGTGGCAGGGACGGTGCGAGAACCCCGAGAGAGAGAGGGGGGGTAAAAGGCACAGTAGTCACAATGAGAGACGAAGCAGTGCCAGGGGACGAGGTGGTCACCACTGGGGGCTGGGGACTCGACCCTACCGCAGAGGAGGGAGAGGAGCTGAGGGGGAGTAGTCAGGTCGTCGGGGCCCAATGCAGCGGGGACTACAGGGCCTGGTCTTCCAATGCAGTCCGACTCGAGGGCTTGGTCGCCCACCCCATGAGCCTGAGAAGGTACAAGGGAAACATTATCTGCCATGAAAACGAGGAAAAACTTTCATTCACGAATGTACCCCCACACCCACCATGGAGCCACAATTAGAGGCAGGACACCCAACAAGAAGCTATCGCCGATCTTGCCGGGAGCCCCCAGGGGTGCGTCGTGTGTATACGCCCCACAAACACCATCTTAAGAACCGTGAGTCCGTTGAGAGCAGGCTCAGTGACGAAAGGAGGATCGACAATAAAAGGGTCCCCTCGCTCAAGACGCTGGGTACTACAGTACTACAGTTATACGGGTGCAAGAGTATGCCTCCTCAAACACCCGGGCGTCAAAACAAAAGGTCGAAAGAATAATCAAAACAGGCAAAAGGTTGGCAGGAAATGACAATTTGATAGAAGAGGGGGGAGAACAATGAAACACAAGGAAAAGGGGTCTGGCAAAATTGGTAAAGGCAGCAGCAGGAGCATAAGGCTGCAAAAGGACAGAGGACTGACCCATGGAGCATCACACTCCGGCAGCTGCCCACCAAGCCCCCTCATGGCGGAAACGGGCCAGACAGTGAGGGGGCTATGTGAAGAAAGAATTAAATTGGTCAACAAATAAATCGGTAATAACTGGCAGAACTTGGGACTTCAATTTTTTTTTTTGGCTGATTTTTTCACAGATTTCAAACTACTTTCCTTGTTTCTTTAGATTGTGTTCATGATTAGGGACCAGATTAGGACTTTTTGACTTATAAAGTATATCCTAAATATATCCCCTAAATCATTATAATTATTATAATTATCCCTATGTTTTGTTTTTTGGAGGGTTATTTTTTCTTGACTTCATTTCAATACATTGACCTACAACTTTCACATATTCGAGTACGAATGCCAAACAATGTTTATTAAAACATACAAGTAAATTAATGAATTAGAACTACCTTATACAGTCAATAACTTCAACTTCAATTATCTCTAAAACTAGAGTTTCAACATTGAGTCAGCTTCATAAAATTCAGTTTCTGACCGATTCTCACCATTTTTACATATAGTGTGCGCCGCTGTCTGTTCTACAATCCTATGTGGATGGATTTTTCATAAACACTAAACATTTTGAGTTATAAATTTTTCCTTCAGGTCTGAATTTGATGCATATTTCAAATGCCATCTTGACGATTTTTTTTACAGTAAACTAAACTGAAAATCTATTTTAAATCTATTAAAATGTTATCTTGAGATGATTTCGGGGCTTTAGTGTCCCCACAGCCCGGTCCTCGACCAGGCCTCCACCCCCAGGAAGCAGCCCGTGACAGCTGACTAACACCCAGGTACCTATTTTACTGCTAGGTAACAGGGGCATAGGGTGAAAGAAACTCTGCCCATCGTTTCTCGCCGGCGCCTGGGATCGAACCCAGGACCACAGGATCACAAGTCCAGTGTGCTGTCCGCTCGGCCAACCAGCTCCCTCCCTCATATGTAGATCATATACTATTCTGAGAGCATAATAACACTTAATGAACAATTGGCAATATTTAATATTTTTGCAGCCGATCTGAAAATCTGAAATTTTCAATATTAAATTTTATAATCTTTAATTTTCTTGTTTTTCAAGTTACGTTGATGATCATTTAGACAAAGTTGGAGTGTTTGCCTAGTAGATTATGCAAAAAAAAAAAAAAAATGTGAGTTAGAACAAGTTTCAAAAATTTAACTTATGGTATCATCGGGCCCCTTTCGTATATATGCACAAGTGATTTGAATAGTACTACCATTGTGATGGGATCCCTGGATTTGAAAGTTCTCGTAATCCATGCAACATTTGCTTGGTTATGCTCCCTAAACGTTAGGTCGTCGGACATCATTATTCCCAAACCCTTGACATGCTGTTTCCCTACTAAGAGCACATTTGGATTGTGTTTTGTACCCTGTATTATGTTTAAGGTCTTCATTTCTGCCATACCTGAGTAACTGGAATTTATCACCGTTAAACATCATGTTATTTCTGCTGTCCAATCGAAAACTTCATTAATATCTGCTTGTTGTTTTTCAATGTCTTCAGCAGAGGTAATTTTCATACTGATTTTTGTCATCTGCAAAGGATGACACGAAGCTGTGACTTGTATTTTTGTCTATATCTGATATGAAAATAAGGAAAAGCAGTAGTGCAAAAAGGTCCAATAAAGGAGGGTTTTGATTTTTAATTTTTGCACATGTGAAAAAATATTTTATATTTTTCTTTATCTCTTGTATAGCTTTCTGTCCCAATTCCATTTCCTCAGACTCGTACGATTGCTTCAATGATCGTTAGGTACCTCGGAGTTAGACAGCTGCTACTGGTTGCTTCCTGGGGGGGGGGGGCGTAATAAAAAGGAGGCCTGATAGAGGACCGGGCTGCGGGCAAGCTAAGCCCCGAAATCATCTCAAGATAATCTCCCCTATTTGTGATTTATTGTCGATTTATCCCTTGTTGACTTAGTAATTTTACTTTTTATAATATATGAATATATTTATAATATATGAATATATTTATAATATATAAATATATTTATAATATTATATAAATATAATTATATGTATATATAACATGTATACAGTATATTTATAATATTATACATGTTTATTTGTTCAGCTTTATGTGGAGGTACTTATCTCATGGTGAAGAAAATGGTCCCAGTGGGGTATACAGCTGAACGTCGTCGTTGTCCCAAGTCGCAGGTTGGATGCCACCCGTTGCCAGTAATTTGATTTATAACACTGATTATTTGCCTGTATTACGCTAAGGGATTTTCCGCTTTCTTTCCGGCTTGCTTCCGTATTCACTCACTATTACTAATTCCTAAATCCACATTTCCTTATTACAATATATATTTCCAGTATATTATCAATGAGGGAAGTCCCCTACACTGAGCCTCGTTGCTGTGGTGTAAATACCGCCTAGTGTGACGCCTCATGCCACAATTTTACATTTCTAGTTTTTCTATGTGCAATTCTCCGACAGTTTCCACTTATTTGTTATGTTACACGTTTCACTTCACTGTTCAACGTATTACTGCTTGCTATATATTTGATATATATCGGCATTTGATATATATCATACACATGTACACATGAGCCTCACGGCACTGGCTCCCCCAACATGGTCTCACTTTTATTCTTTACTTAACTCAAAGTTCTATTGGTAATGACTGTATTCGAGTTTCCTACGGGTCACTATGCACTTCATGATGACTGATCCATGGCTGTAACCCTAAAAAACCCTGGTATATTTTGGGCAGCTCTAGTAAACTGAGGCAGGGTCACCCGTGCCACCAGGAACCACGCGCTTGGTTGACCCATGTGTGTATCAAGAACATCAGAAGTCGAGGCCAAGGTCGTAAGTCAAAAGTCGAATTTTCCAACGAAATTGGGATCGTAACTAGAAAAATTCGTAGTAGGGGCATTTGTAAGTTGAGGTTCCACTGTAGGTCAATTGGCCACTTTGTAAAACAATCCTGCATCATTGTAAACAATGCTGCAGGATGTTTTTAAAAATTTGGTTTAATGTTCTAGGCTTCACAGCCTTGCCTTCAATTACTCTTCATTGCAATATTCGGTGACTTGTTACTTATGCTTTGTGCTTTTATGGAATGCAAGAATGTTTATTGTCCCATCTTAAATACTAAAATGTGCAATTTGGCAGGAAAACAAATCATCTTTAAAATAGGAATCTTACTTTTGATTACATCAGCTAGATTTTGCATGTCATTTGGTACATTAGCCATCTCCAGTTCTGGTTGTGTTCCATCAATAAAGGCCTGCACAACAGCTTGGGCTGGGTCACGCACTATTTCATTCCACTTGCTAGGATCTGTTCCATCCACTGCATATACTGGAGGAACCTGTAAAACAGTTTCATGAACAATCTTTTTTTTTTTAGGTAGAAAATAAAAGAAGCATGTGTAAGTCAATTCAAGTTCATATACGTGAGAACCATTCTTGTGAACAGGTTCACTATTCTTGTGAACCTGTACTGTACTGGAGGATGACAAAATTGAATCAACTATAAATGAAAACCCTAGTTAGGAAAAAACACACTGACCTAAGTTATGCAGCTTGAAGAGTACATGAAGGAAGTGCCTATGCAAACCAGGTTTTTTTCGCGGGCTCATACCACAAATGATAGATCCTGTGCATATTTACACTCCATGCTTTCTCTCTCATTCACTCACTACATCTACCCATCTACTTGGCATTCCTCTTATTCCTTCCCTCAAATTCACTATTAGATTTTGCCAGTCTACAAGCATCTATTTATTTTACATGCCCAACTATCTCTGTATGCTCTTCAATCCTGCGATTTACAAACCCTATTCCCACTGGATTCTGAAGAAGCCAGAGTGCCTATGCACTCTGCACCAGGCCCTGATTCTTGGAACTCCATATTCATCAAGAACTGTAAAAAAAACATTATCGCAGGCTTTTTCACATTCTTTGGAGACAAAGCCTAGATACTGGCGTTATCCCTGACATACTAAAAACAGCAGATAGCACCACTCCATAAAAGAGGAAATAAGGCAGAGGCAAAAAATTACAGACTGATAGCATTAACATCACACATCATAACAATCTTTGAGAGTGCACTAAGAAGTAAGATCACAAAATACATGGAATCACAGCATCTCCATAACCCCGGACAACAAGGGTTTCAGAACAGGGCACTCTTGCCTATCACAGTTGCTGGACCACTATGATATGGCACTAGATGGCATGGAAAACAAACAAAACACTGATGTAATTTACACAGATTTTGCAAAAGCCTTCGACAAATGTGACCATGGTGTTATTGCACATAAAATGCAATCAAAAGGAATTACCGGAAAAATGGGCAGATGGATCTACAATTTCCTGACTAATAGAACCCAATGTGTAATAGTCAACAAAATCAAATCCAGTCCATCAACCGTGAAGAACTCAGTCCCCCAGGGTACTGTGCTTGCTCCAGTAATTTTTCTCATCCTCATATCGGACATAGACAACGACACAACCCATAGCACTGTATCATCCTTTGCAGATGACACTAGGATTTTCATGAGAGTAAACAACATAAAGGACACGGCAAACCTCCAATCAGATGTAAATCAGGTCTTTCTATGGGCTACAGAAAATAATATGGTGTTTAATGAAGATAAGTTCTAGCTCATGTGCTACGGAAAAAAAACAAATATAAAAATGGAAACCCCGTACAAAACAGTCAAATCATAACATAGAACGAAAAGGCAATGTAAAGGATTTGGTTGTACTCATGTCGGAAGACCTTACCTTTAAAGAACACAATAAAGTAGCCGTCACAACTGCAAGAAAAATGGCAGGTTGCATAAGCTATACCGATGATGATACTTTTCAAGACGCTAGTGCTCTCTAGAGTGGAGTACTACTACACAATGACAGCCCCTTTCAAAGCTGGAGAAATTGCTGACCTGGAGAGAATGCAGAGATTGTTTACTGCTAGAATCCACTCAGTAAAGCATCTAAACTATTGGGAACGACTAAAGAGCTTAAATCTGTATTCTCTTGAGCGCAGGCGGGAGATACTTAATAATTTACACGTGGAAAATAGTAGAGAGGCTGGTCCCAAACCTGCACACAGAAATAACACCACATGAGACCAGAAGGCATGGCAGGATGTGCAGAATCTGGTCTCTGCACATCTTATGGTCTGAGTATGTAGTACCTGAGATTGTAATGTGTCTGATTAGTTCATCATTGTTTGTGAATAACAAGTGTAGTGTGTTTTTGTTCCTAGTTGGTTCTGTAATCTGTTGATTGAGCGAGAATTTGGCATAGAATCTCAAAAGTTATCTGACCTGTGGTTGATTATTTCCTGGGTGGTTCCCTTCTATGATATTCGTTTGCCATTCTCCATCTTAGACTTGGTAAATTGAAATCTCCAAGGAAGATAATATTCAGAGCTGGGTTTGCTAGATTATCAAGGATGTTCTCTATTTTGTGCATCTGCTGTGAATTTCTCAACCGTCGTATCTGGCAGTTTATATATTAGAATAATAATTAGGTTTATTTCTTCTACCTTAATTTCAAGTACCTCTACCACCTCATTAGTTGATTTTAGTAGCTCTGTGCATACCAGGTCCTCTTTAATAGACAGACCTACTCCTCCATTTGACCTAGTTCTGGAAAAAAACTATATTTTGCTGGAAAAAACTTATAGCACTTGCACCAAAAATAACTAGGAACTTTTTGAACACATTCCAGTCTCCCTTCAGTGGGAAGATCTGGATTTTGGTCTTGGCTCCAGGTATATTAGTGCCAGGGAGCTACCAATGGTTTTTTTGAAGAAAAGGCCATACAATAAATAAAACCTGAGGTATTGTGTTATTCAATTATAAGGAAGCATAAGTGGCTGAATGTGCAGGGATGTATGTGCACTCACGTGCACCATGTTGTGTGTGTGGGGGCAGCAAGTAAGTAAGTAATTATCAAAAGACGGCACCAAACCGGGAAGGCTATGTAGCACCATCAAATGCGCGGAATAATCAGAGGGCGCTAATTATCACCAAGGATGCCAATACGAGAACAAAAACGCATAAAGCGAACGATATCAAAAGTATCCGAGTCACCAAGAATTCTATTGAGGGACAGGTGACTGCGAGGGGCGGTCGGAGAGCAAGACACGCTCGTGTGGGCAGCAAGATCCACCTCTAGAGTCCCACTAAATAATGTATTTATCTATTTGAGACATTTATACCTTCTAACATTTGAGTAATCTGTTATACTTGCTCCTGAAACTGAGAATGGTAATTGTTTGCACCAACTCTGGATCAATTTAATTTCACTTGTTTGAGAAAACATACAACTAATCCTTGCATTTCTCTGGCTTCTCTATTTCCAACTGTGCTCTCTCATTTGGTTATCCCTTATCTGGAAAAGACTTATCTATCAACTTAGTCTATTTCCATAAGTATCTTGAATATTGCAATATCTCCATATCCTCTTTTAATATTGTTAGGTTTAGTTTTCTTAGCCAGTCCAATTAGCTCATCTCGCTGTGGATTTCTCAATGTGTGGGTTTTGTTAGAACTATGTACATATTCTAATAATGCTATAACATTAGTGATGAATATAATTCCGAAGGATTTTATAATTATTTAAAGTCATCCTAATGTTTGTTGTGTGTGCATGTACTGCTTATGTTATTGTTAATATGTAAGGCTGGTGCTAGTAAATTTTCAGATCTATTTCCATTGCTGCTTTCTGCTCCTGCTTCTTTTGTAGACTACCCCATCGTGCTCTCCTTTCTCCCCCAACTTTCAGTAGATTAATCTCAACAAATTTTAAGTAAACTTCAGTAACCATTTGAATGACATTTCTGCAACAACCTGTGTAGGTTACCCTTAATATTCTGCGATCATTTTTTATCCTCCATTGGTTTTGCACTGTGTGCAAATATTGCTCTGTAGCACAGTTGGGTTGCAACCGAGAGGTTCTGGGTTCAATTCCTGCAGCAGAACAGACGTGTTTGGGAACATTTCCTTTCACTCGAAGCCTCTGTTCACCTAAAAATATGTACCCGGAAGTTAGGCAAATGCTGTGTGTTGCATCCTGGAGAAGGTCAGTAGTTGGTCAAAGGGGACTAGTGCCAAACCCTGTAGGTCCATAAATAGTCTAACAACAAATGATACGCAAAAGTTTCAGCACATACACCTAAAAACTGCATTTGCGTATTGTATATATTTTGGACTTAATACTATTCTAGATTCTAAGCTTTACATTAGTATTGTATATAAAATGAAGCAAGATATTATTCTTCTTACCTGTCGTCCTGATGGAAGAATAAACCGGTTTCTAATCCACCTTATTTGTTTCTTGGTATACTGGCGGGTTGCCTGTGGATAAATTTGATATAATGTACAATATTGTAAAGACAGTAGAGGAGGAAAGATGCCTACAGGAATAACAGCAAGGTATAACTGAGCTTACACCTCCACCAAGGACGTATGTGTATCTGCACATGTATGTGTAAATCAGCGTCAACTAATTTAATCATTAAAGTAATTCTGTTCATTACCCAGTTACCCATCACGAGACAACTGACCCTTAATTCACACAGTACGTAGTTTGTGTAATAACCACAGGCCCCTGATAAATTGACTTAAATATTACATAAATATGGGCATCAACCTGTGAATAACAAAAACTAATACTCTTAAGGCACAGGCTTCCCCAGAGAACCCCCCAATCTTCCCCTTAACCTTCCCTCAAACATCCCCAACCTTTCCCCAAAGACCCCCCCCTGAACTTTTCCCTAGACCCCCCCAGCCTTCACCAAAGACCCACAAACCTTCCCACATTGTATATATCCCATAGATATATATACCACAGACGACCCAAACTTTTCACCAGAGTCCATCCCATAAGATTCATCAAAGACCCCTTCCAACCTTTCCCAGAGTCCCCTAACCTTCCAATTCCCCCCTCCCCTCCCCCTAGAGAACCCCAAATAGCATCCCCAGATATTCTCATACCTCGAGATGATTTTGAGGCTTAGTGTCCCCCGTGGCCTGGTCGTCAACTAGGCCTCCTCATTGCTGGACTGGTCAACAAGGCTGTTGGATGCTGCTTCCAGCCTGATGTACGAGTCACAGTCTGGTTGATCAGGTATTTTCTGGAGGGGCTTGTCAAGTTCTCTCTTGAATACTGTGAGGGGGGTCAGCCAGTTATGCATGCCCCTTATGTGTAGTGGAAGCGTGTTGAACAGTCTCTGGTGTTGATAGAGTTCTCTCTCAGATTACCTGTTGCACCTCTGCTCTTCAACAGGGGTATTCTCCACATCCTGCCATGCCTTGTGGTCTCATGTGCTGTTATTTCTGTGTGCAGGTTTGGGACCAGCCACTCTACTATTTTCCATGTAAATTATTATGCATCTCTCCCGCCTGCGCTCAAGAGAATACAGATTTAGGCATTTTAGTTGGTCCTAATAGCTTATATGTTGTACCGAGTGGATTTGAACAGTAAAGAACCTGCACATTCTCCAGGTCAGCAATTTCTCCAGCTTTGAAAGGGGCTGTCATTATGCAACAGTATTCCACTCTAGAGAGCACTAGCATCTTGAAAAGCATCATCATCTGTTTAGCATCTCTAGTGTCAAAGGTTTTTGTTATCCAACCTGTCATTTTTCTAGCAGATGATACCTGCTTGATGGGGTTCTGGGAGTTCTTCAACTCCCCAAGTTCGACTCGAGGCACAGGCTTGACTTGTGAGAGTTTGGTCCATTAAGGCTGTTGCTTGGAGCGGCCCGCAGGCCCACGTACCCATCACAGCCCGATTGGTCCAGAACTTCTTTTAGAAAACAGTCTAGTTTTCTCTTGAAGATGTCCACGGTTGTTCCGGCAATATTTCTTATAGTCGCTGGGAGAACGTTGAATAACCTCTGATGTTTATACAGTGTTCTCTGATTGTGTCTATGGCACCTCTGCTCTTCACTGGTTCTATTCTGCATTTTCTTCCAAATCGTTCTCACCAGAATGTTGTTATTTTACTGTATAGATTAGGGACCTGGCCCTCCAGTATTTTCCATGTGTATATTATTTGGTATTTTTCTCGTTTCCTTTCTAGTGAGTACATTTGGAGAGCTTTGAGCCTGATGTGATGGCTACTTTATTGTGTTCTTTGAAGGTAAAGTCTTCCGACATGAATACACCCAAATCCATTACACTGCCTTTCAAACTTACCAATTTCATTGCTTCAACACCATCCTTGTACATTGCTGTCCCTTTGTCACTTTTTTGTTCTTGTGCTGGCAAGATTAAGAATTTGTGGAATTCTTTAAACCCTATACTCTGGAAAATGCCCTTGGTGTAGTCTGCGGCTTCTCCATCCTCCAGACGCTTGGCATTATATGAAGTGTGAAAGTCTTTCAGTTCCTGAAGAAGCCCTCGCTCGATCATCTCATCCACCCGGGTATCCAATCGCTGTTCGAGAACATCCTGTAAATATCCATACATTAGCACTGAATTTTACATGGAATACCTGTAGTTTACTTGTATACCTTTTTAATTTGACTCTGTGATGGCTAAACTTTACAATTACTATGTGCAAAACAGAACTGCTTTACCTTTATGTAAAAAGAAAAAGTTTATACTGAATATAGTTTATACTATACAAAAATTAATAACAAAATCATGATAGATATTAAAAATGTGACCAGTTCAAATACAGTACAGTACTCTAACCAATTAAATTTAGATTAATGACAAATCTATAAGTATCTGTTTGGTCAAGGTGGGAGGCCAGATGCTTGGGGCTAGTCTCTACCAACTTTCTAAAATGAATCATGATAGATACAGGAGTGTCATAGGCCAATCACAGTTGGTCCCAGGGCCATGCTTTTAGAAATATCACCATTTATAATAAACCTCTTGCTATTTTCATTATGTCTGAAATAAAATTTAGCACGTTCCCCCAAATTGGAAAAATAAAGACCGGTTCCAAATCTGAACACAGACTACATCACATAAGACCAGGAGGCATGGTAGGATGTGCAGAATATCCCCGTTGAAAAGCAGAGGTGCAACAGGTAATCTTAAGAGAGAAGTTTATTAAGGGGCATAACTGGCCGACCCCGTGCAGTGTTCGAGAGAGAACTTGATAAACACCTCCAAAGGATACCTGATCAAGCAGCCTGTAATTCATACGTCAGGCTGTGAGGAACCTGTTGAGGCCAACCGCCTGCAACCTGTTGGGGCCAACCGCCTGCAACCTGTTGGGGCCAACCGCCTGCAATCCGCGTCCAATAGTCCAGCAACCAGAAGGCCTGGTCGAGGACAGGGCCGCGAGGATGTTGAGCCCCGAAATCATTGCTAGGTAACCGCAAGGAGGACTATTTGGCCGATCAGCTAGTACTCTCGTGGGATTGTACGTTATGCCATCCTCTCCAGGAGAGGTAGTCTTACCTTTCATGAATACATTTTATTTTTTATTTTTTTAGAGAGTTGTGATAATTATCATCTGGACCTATTTCAGTACAGGTGGTTTTAAATGTTGTATTTATTATTTATACTGGTACCAGTACTAGCAGTATGGTGTTACATTCAGGGGTAGGCTTTTTATGCTAGCAGTACTTGCATTAATTCGAGAAGCATGTCAGTGTAGTCTGCAAGCGAGTGGTGAGCAGTGGGGACTACTAGGATGCAAAATCTTTATGATTTTATTCCACATTTAGGATGAGGAATCATTTTGCATGATGTCTTGTAAAAACTGTTCCCGGAGCTGGTTATACACCTGCTCTTTTAGCTCACTAAACTTTTGGCTGGCTTTAAGAAATGTGATAAAAGTGTCAGTTTTTTTGTGAGTCTTATACTGCTCCGCTAAGATGAGAACTCTGTCATGCAGAGCTCCTGTCAGAGAGACAGGAACTCATAACACCCATACCCAAGCCCAATTCACATTCAGGCTCATTTCCCCTGACATTATGTGCAAAGTTCTTGATAGGATTATCCGTGACAGGATAATGTTTCAAATTAGACCCTGACTTGCTCCTAACCTATAAGGTTTCCTTCCTGGCAGAAGCACTCAAACTTGCATTCAGCGTTTTTTTTTTTATTAGACAGACCAAGCTTTCAGGAGGACCTCTAAACTGCTTTTGATACAGTAAACGGAGAAATAACCTTAAAACAACTAGCCTTTTTTGGAGTCGAGGAAAGCCTTGACATGGTTCATGGAGTACCCGAGTATCAGAACTGCCTCAGTCCTTTTCAAGGGGGCTCAAAAGTAAACATTACGCACCCTCGAGTTGGGTATGCCCCAGGGTGGAGTGCTTTACCTGCTTGATGGGGTTCTGGGAGGAGTTCTACTCCCCAAGCCCGGCCCAAGGCCAGGCTTGACTTGTGAGAGTTTGGTCCACCAGGCTGTTGCTTGGAGCAGCCCGCAGGCCCACATACCCACCACAGCCCGGTTGCTCCAGCACTTTTTTTTTTTTTTTAGAAAACAATCTTGTTTTCTCTTGAAGATGTCCATGGTTGTTCCGGCAATATTTCTTATACTCGCTGGGGGGGGAGGAGAAGAGGTGGGGGGGGGAAGGAGAAGAGGTGGGGGGGGGGAAGGAGAAGAGGTGGGGGGGGGGAAGGAGAAGAGGTGGGGGGGGGGGGAAGGAGAAGAGGTGGGGGGGGAAGGAGAAGAGGTGGGGGGGGGGAAGGAGAAGAGGTGGGGGGGGGAAGGAGAAGAGGTGGGGGGGGGGGGAAGGAGAAGAGGTGGGGGGGGGGGGAAGGAGAAGAGGTGGGGGGGGAAGGAGAAGAGGTGGGGGGGGGGGGAAGGAGAAGAGGTGGGGGGGGAAGGAGAAGAGGTGGGGGGAAGGAGAAGAGGTGGGGGGGGGAAGGAGAAGAGGTGGGGGGGGGGAAGGAGAAGAGGTGGGGGTGGGGGGGGGGGAAGGAGAAGAGGTGGGGGGGGGGAAGGAGAAGAGGTGGGGGGGGGGAAGGAGAAGAGGTGGGGGGGGGAAGGAGAAAAGGTGGGAGGGGGGGAAGGAGAAGAGGTGGGAGGGGGGAAGGAGAAGAGGTGGGAGGGGGGAAGGAGAAGAGGTGGGAGGGGGGAAGGAGAAGAGGTGGGAGGGGGGAAGGAGAAGAGGTGGGAGGGGGGAAGGAGAAGAGGTGGGAGGGGGGAAGGAGAAGAGGTGGGAGGGGGGAAGGAGAAGAGGTGGGAGGGGGGAAGGAGAGAGAGAGAGAGAGAGAGAGAGAGAGAGAGAGAGAGAGAGAGAGAGAGAGAGAGAGAGAGAGAGGGGGGTAGAGGCAGGCTGACCTGCTGGCATGTGACCCAGAGGATGGCAGTGTTGGGGTACCTGAGGCCGCCCCCGAGGCTGGAGCCGCCTTCCTGCTGCTGCTGCTGCTCCAGCAGCTGGCTGTGGCGCCGACCCGTCTGCTCCCACACCTGCAGCGACCTGTCAAAACACAACACTCATTACTATTTCTTCTCACACATCTCTACATTAAGAGCGTACATCTGCACTTTGTGATTCGTCTTCACTCTTTGATGAGTTTGTTTACTATCTCGTATTTGCCCGTGTAAAACACACATCAAGTCTCTAATTAATAATAATATTAAAACAAGTAATAATAATAATAATAATAATAATAATAATAATAATAATAATAATAATAATAATAATAATACTAGCACAAAATAATTGAGTACGCTTGATCATAGTTATTGCAAGTGATACTTGTGTAGTTTTGTTGGGTATCTTATGCAAGATAATTATCAGGAGAAAGCATTACAACCACATAGAACTTGTTAGAGATGTGAGGATAAGAACTTGGGATAAGACGGAGGAAAGGAATGGTGCCCAACCACTTAAGAGAGTTGGGGATTGAACGCCGACCTGTAAGATGCAAGACTTCGACTGGACAGTAGTAACAGATACTGGGACGGTGCAAGTTAGTTCTACTCCCCCAAGCCCGGCCTGACTTGTGAGAGTTTGGTCCACCAGGCTGTTGCTTGGAGCGGCCCGCAGGCCCACATACCCACCACAGCCCGGTTGGTCCGGCAAGCTATTTAGAAAAGTCTAGTTTTCTCTTGAAGATGTCCACGGTTGTTCCGTCAATATTTCTTATAGTCGCTGTAAAAGCACAGCGACTTTTGGGTATGGGGTCCAAAACAATAACAATAACAACAACATTGGTAACAATGAGGCGACTGGCACCACACACACTATTAACAAAAAAATGGTGTTAGCTATACAATGTACACGACTTTCCAACACTGAGTCAAACAGAAAAGTAGAAAGAAATACGGTACTGTTGACCACAGGGCTTAGCCAATCCTTTGAAGATAGAACACTCAATCTGTCGCCTCTTAACTGTGCTTTGGCGAGAGGCGTTTCCACAAACCACGCAAAATTTAGGCCTATGCAATAGTTCCAAACGTTATGAAAAAAGTCGCCAGTCAGTAAATTAAGACAACCAACAGCTATTAAGGCAGGGCTCAGAGGCAGGCGCTCGATCCTGTAATCCTATTTGGGGGAATATATTCAACAGACGGAGAGGCCTATTTTAAATATATCTGCTCCGGCTGCAAGAGGCGGGAAGAATGACAAATGATCCAGACATACAAAATACACATAGATGAGCCACCAGGATGAGAAGAAACGCTTCAGTTTTTGTAAGCAGGTGCAAGGAAGCACAAGGGGAAAATAGTAGAGGCTACTCCCCATCCAAACCTTTAATAGCAGATATAACAGTGAACGAAGGAGTCGGGAGCCACTACATCAAGTCATCGACGGTTGGAAATTATAGTCCTGTTTAGATATGTGAACCCGTAAACCTGTAAACTTGTAGAAACCTGTAAACCCGAAATGTAAACATGCGTCGCCGCCCCGAGTAACCTGTCGACAGCTGGCATGACGACCATGGAGTACTATATCATCTGCACACAAAACACCTTCAGGTTTTACGGGCTTTTCATGCCCGTGCCACCTTTAAGGTGGCTTAATCTTTATCAATCACATATCTTCAGGGTTAGAGTTGTGGTGGTGACAGCCACAGCAGACAGTCCCATCTCTCCCTCGTGCTCGGCTACCCTAGCCTCTGACACCATTATAGCAGCAGCCCACTCCTCACTGACGTCCCTGCCCTTCCCACCTGCACACCCAGGTTACTGCCCCCCCCCCTCCTACACACACCCGTCACCCAAGGGTGCAGAACCCCCCCCCTCTCCCACCTGTCACCCAGGGTGAAGAACCCCCCCCCCCCACCTATCACCCAGGGTGCAGAACCCCCCCACCTATCACCCAGGGTGCAGACCCCCCCCACCTATCACCCAGGGTGCAGACCCCCCCCCCACCTATCACCCAGGGTGCAGAACCCCCCCCCCCCACACACACACACACACACCCCGTCACCCAGGGTGCAGCTGTCACTCAACACCGCCTCGACATTGCCGGACACTTAGGCCAGGCAGGAGGAGGAGGAGGAGGACGACGACGACAAAGGCGGCCAGTACTGTGGGTGCGACAAAAGATAAGGCGAGACGTGTGAAGGGGGCCACAAGACAGCGTAACTGACACCACTAAAGCTTGACGTGGTGCTGAAAGGGATGAGGGGGGCGTCTAGCCCCCCTCATCCCTTGTGCAGCCCCCTCACCATGCACAATGTGCGCCCCCTCCTCACCTGTCATGCACACCCCTCAACAACCACCTCAACCCCCCCCCCCCCCCCTCAAACCTCTCTCACACAAAATCTTGCGAGCGCACATGTACTACTTCCGCCCATTACCAGACCTTCACACCACCCAGTGTGTCACTGACAAGATTCCTCACGCCGGGCTGCTGCCACACACACACCAAGCAAAGGGCAGGCTGCCAAACCTTCAAAGGGCAGGCTGCCAAACCTTCAAAGGGCAGGCTGCCAAACCTTCAAAGGGCAGGCTGCCAAACCTTCAAAGGGCAGGCTGCCAAACCTTCAAAGGGCAGGCTGCCAAACCTTCAAAGGCCAGGCTGCCAAACCTTCAAAGGGCAGGCTGCCAAACCTTCAAAGGGCAGGCTTGCGGTAACAATGTCATTAACAAAGTTCAACCACTTTACTTCATAGGTGGGGTACAAGAACAGACGACTTCTATTAGCAGGCTGAGAGCTTTTCCTTCCCTTAGTTCATGGTAAGCCTTACTCACCAGTTTCCCTGGAACACGACCCGCCAATAGTTTAACGACCAGGTACCCAATCACTGCTGGGTGAACAAAGGCAAACAGTTAAGGATTAGCGCCTAATCCAGCCTCCTTGGTCAGGATACACAGTCCAAACCGGTGGCGCAGCGCGGGGCCAGCGTCTTCCGAACCGAAACCCGCCACTGAAAATGGGTTCAATGGGCTTCTCCCATTGGATTACTTTGATCACACCGCAGCAAAGTTACCAGATTAGTGACGTCGTAGAGTCTCCCTGTTTGTTAACACTAAAGTGTTGATATGACAAACGATTCAAATTATTCAATCTCACTTTGGTGAGAGCGAGAGGAATTAAAAACTCACTCACCATTCACAATTTTTTTTATCCAAAAAAACTACTTCATACGAGTGTGCAGCCCTACTGATGGGAACCTCCAGTCAACTTTCACAAAAGGAAATTAGATTAGAAAAGGTCCAAAGATGCAAAGAACAAGACTCGTTCCCGGACCGAATGGGTCGAACTACGAGTAAAGACTGCAGGAACTGGGCCTCCCCGAACTGGAGGACGAATAATGGACCTCATAAGGTCAAATATCAAGGTCTTATTGCCTGTGTAACAATGTATATATTGCTTCTGTAACATTCTGATACAGAAGCAATGTTCACAGCGGGAGAATAGGAGCAATTTAATGTGTACAAGACCTTCAGTAATGGGCTTAACAAATTAGTAGTAGAAATGAACTATGGCGGAGGTGGGAGGGAGCCGGAGGTGTGGTTGGAGCCGGTCGGTTGAGCGGACAGCACGCTGGACTTGGGTTCGATCCCAGGCGCCGGCGAGAAACAATGGGCAGAGGTTCTTTCACCCTATGCCCCTGTTACCTAGCAGTAAAATAGGTACCTGGGTGTTAGTCAGCTGTCACGGGCTGTTTCCTGAAGGTGGAGGCCTGGTCGATGACCGGGCCGCGGGGACACTTAAAAAAAAAAAAAAAGGCCCCGAAATCTTCTCAAGATAACCTCAAGATGGCACAATTATACATGACAAGGTAAGCTACAAAAGCGAGTCATGCGGTAAATCTACAAGTCCACAAGGCAGGAGAGGCGGGAGTGTGAGCGGTACAAGCACGAGTGCAGCACAAGGAGCCACGAGTGGTGGCACTCACCCCCCAATAAGGACACACACCCAACACAGTACGGCTCCATACACACACACCACCTACTCGCCAACACCGAAAACCACAAATACTGCACGAGACAATGACCCGAGCAAGCAGCAGAAATGGTGGGGGAGAGATGTCAATGTAGGCTGGGGAGTGGCGCCAGCAGCCGTGGGAGTAGGCACCCTAATGTTAAATACCACACTTTGGCACATTTGGCCCCGTGTGCGCGCGCGCCTTGATCCTGGGAATGACAGCAAGGTAACCACAAGGTAACCTCTTGCAGCTGACTGGCTACCATCAGCAGTCTAACAACGTCAGACATGGAAGGTAAGGCGTGTTTGATAATATCCAAACACACAAATACACCGTCCGGGTGACGTCAGGCGGGGCGAGGACACCCTCCATACACACAGCCACTGACGTCAGGTTACAATATACACCACTACCTCTCACCCACTGGCTGGGTGACGCAACACCCACCATTTATACACTGGCACTCCTCTCCACATTCACCACGTGAGCTACTTGGCTGCCAATTACCATGTGGTTAGATGGGTCACCCACGCTCACCCTCCCCCCCACAGTCTGTTACTCCCATCTGTAAACTAGCTTACGTCCCTTAATCCCAACCTATCTTAGGATAACTCCACTATTCAGTCAATGTTATTTAGTTGGCGAGAAGCTGCGTCTAACAGGCTGGTTGAACAGACCGCCAGAGACCGGGCTGCGGGGACACGATCCTCGAAACCACCTCAAGGTAAGTGTAAACCACCTCAAGGTAAGTGTAAACCACCTCAAGGTAAAGTATGAGTGTATATGACCGATATTGGATTCATTAAGATTAAGACGGCAAGGTAAGGTAACCTGGTTGATGGGGGTTCTGGGAGTTGTTCCACTCCCCAAGCCCGGCCTGAGGCCAGGTTTGTCTTGTGAGAGAGTGGTCCACCAGGCTGTTGTAGGCCGCTCCAAGCTTTAGATTTGCCAAGCCGCTTCGAGATTTAGAAGCTACATTCATCAGTGATTTAGTCTAGCAATTGTAGGGAGGGGAGTGCAGTCCCGGTGGCGCAGTGGTAACACACTCGCCAGGCGTTTCGCGATCACTTTGGCCTGCGTTCGCATCCTGGCC